TCCCCCGAAATATCCGTAAATTGGAGGCCCGATATTATTTGCATGACTGATATTTTAATCATTGGCCTTACCTTTGTGAGGTGAAGAAATTGGATTCAGGTCTCGAGTAAATAGCTTAGATTTATAGTATGGCTCTCAATTGCAATGTTAAACCCTACATTAGTTATATTCATTTTATTTTTTTGGTCTAAATATAATATAGATAGTCTAATTATTCTTTTCTATGTGTATCTATACATTATTATATAATATTTTAATTTCTTTTAGTCAAATATAATATTTTAATGAGTATATAGTATATGTAACAATTAAAAGAAAAAACCAGTTTTTTTTTGCCAAGAAAAATGGAGAACCAATTAATCCGTCACTTATTTTGAGCGATAGGATTATTAGTGATTCTAATGGATGGTATGTTGATATTTAAGGGGTTTATTTATTTATTTAAATTGTATGCTTATTAGGCTTTAGGGTCTAAGTTATGAAATGTAATAGCGATTTCTTATACTTATTCGACTTTAGGATGTAAGTTACAAATTCAATTGCGATATTAGTAATGTGTAATTGAACGTAATTTGTGTTGTTAGCATTTGTATTGACAACCATGCAATTTCCAAATAGTGGAAGGAATTTCAAAGAGACTATGCCTTTGTCGATGTTTCAATTGTTAATGCATGTCCTAGAATTGTTGTGCAATTGCACATCCATTGTAAATAATTGCATATAAAATTTCAAGACATATTGTGAACTTACATGTGATTACTCATAATAATTGGATAATTGTAAAAAGACTATGCAATTGCACGTACCATGACGCAAAAACGGAATGACTCTGAATGTAGCAAATTGCCCATCCACTAAAAATAGCTAACCCATCCCCTCCTTCCCTTCCCGACACCTCACCCCCTCCCCCATTCCCTCAGCTCTCTCTCTTTCTTCCCGTCTAAAAGAAACACAAACATCAAAAGTCAATCAAGCCAAGACATCAAGAATCAAACACAGCTCCATCAAACCCGAACATGAAAAATCAATTAAACCCAAAAATCAATCAAACCCATCCCAGCTTCTCCATTTTTCACGTATTTCGCAGGAGATGGAAGTTTTCATCAGTTCATGACTGCAACTTTGTGTGCATCTGCTCCATTTGGATTTAGTAGAAGGGCAGCAACTAGAGATTTAGTACAAGCCATAATAAATAATCATTTGGGGAAATAGAAGAAATCAAATAAATTTGGGATTTCTAAGAAGAGGGTTCTCAAGATTCAAGCATGTGAATAAGAGAAATCAGTCATGATACTATGTTAGAATTGAGCCAAACAGAAAGAAAATGAACTAGAGAGAAGGGTGGGTGAGGTATTACAAGGAAGAAGGGGAAGGAATGCGTGAAGGAGGCGCGTCAATTTTTCCCCTTGCTTTTAACCTGTTAACCAACACAACCGTTTTCCCTTGTTTTAAAAACACCCCCACGTGAGAGGCTGTACCGGTACAGCTGATGTACCACAGAAGTACTCACCTTCCTTTCGCGACGACAAATTCCAACAGGTCAGTTAGTTACTCAAATATTTCCCTTCGCGTCACAGGTTGGTGGGTTACTCAAATCTTTCCCTTCGTGGCACTGTAATTTAAAGAATTATTAACTTTTTACAGTTGCTCAAAACCTGTTAATTAGTTGGACCTTGTAATAATCTTGTTTTCTTGCTTTAAATTTCATTTCTAAATAGTGAGCTAATTGCAAGGGGCTTGTAACTTAAGTGATTAAGAGTATTTATGACAGGATCCGACTCAAATTTAATTTTGGAATCTGTGTCAAACCATGTGCGTGTCCAACACCTAACAGGTGCTGGGCACACTTGACCAAATTGCTCTTTAAACTAAAACTCAAACATTATGTTAAGGTTTGACTTATGCCGAAAACCCGGCAGTCTTCCTTGTAAATTGCTTGTTTCCCAAAATTTACACATGTACAAAATGCAATTCATATATCCACATGCGTTTAGCATGCACAATGTTAGAACACACACAATCCAACAGTAAATTTGTGTGGCATCAGGCCTTACAAAATTCATGGGGCAATATCAGAGCCTACTAATTAATTTAATTTACAAAGTAATACGATTACAATAGAATATCCTACATAAAGGAAAAGGATGAGTGGTGGGTGATGAATGCCCGGTGGTGGTGCTTCGATACTCAATTATTGCCTAAGGGTGCAAAACATTAAAAGTGTGAGTGACAAAAGAAAATTTTGCAAAATATAATATCAACATACTGACCCCATTGTTAAAAGCATTTGAAAATTCATTTAATCCATGTTCTATATTCGAACAAAAATTAAGCATGCATATTTATATTCATATAACCGTTCATACATCAAATCAATTCGTCAAAACCATTTGAAAGCATTAAATAAAAAAATAAAAAAAATCCTTTCCACCCAAGTGTACCCTTCATAAATCCGTAAATGTCGTACTTTTCTATTTATTTCCCACATTATACCGTCAATTCCATGTGTCACGTAAGCGACACCTCCTTGCAGAACTCCAAAACACTAAGTTAACTCGAGCCGCATTCCTCGCAGAACTCAGGAGACACTTGGTCAACATGAGCCGCATTCTTTGCTCCTCACGGTCTGGGTATCCTTAGGACTCGTGGGGCAACGGTCAAACATGCGTTGACCCGACCGAAGTCAATAATTAGGATGTCTATGGACATGATTATATCTGAAGGCAACAATTTATTCGAAGGCAACATTTTGGGTACCTATGGTGGTTTAAAAACCTTTCTGGGAAAATTATAATACTGTTTCTCACTCAATTCTTAAATCATGTTACCATTTCCTTTTCTACTTTTCAAGCCATTCACATTTAAATATAAATTTTTTTTTTAAAGCATTTGAATTCAAACTATATGCTTGGAAAGAAAAAAACCATAAATAATTCATTCATGATCTATTAATAAAATTTTATTGCATAAAATTCATTTATAAAATAAACGTTCACTCACTGTGCGTCCGATCTTGCCTGATTCTTCGAGGGTCCTTCTTGCGGGTTTGGTGGAGCTCGAGTACCTATTTAAGCAATAAAAATATTTAATTAATAAAATAGCTCAACCACAAGTATTTAATCAAAACCTTGACCCCCAGCCTTAAAGTGCGTGTGCATAACTGAAGAAAGTTCCTAGGCCCATTTTCAACAGTTCTGATAGTCGGAATGGTATGAAATGACTAGAGATTAAGTATACGATTAAATTCTTATATTAGTCAACCCTGTCCCCCGTGGGGTCCATGACCTATGATTAATATTTCAAAAGTTCCTATAGGTTCAACAAAGTTTAGCAAACACGTCCTGCAAGTATAGTTCAGATCGAGCGGTCGAATCGCTCACAATCGCACAATCAAACGGTCACCGTTTATATAATCTTTAAATTATTGAATAGGAGCATCCGGGACTCCAATTCTTGATTTGTGAGTTCCTACAGGATTCTAGAGGTTCCTAGATCAACATATTTGGAAATGGAGTCGATCCAATGGTCCGAACATATCGAACCGGATATCGCCTAATATGTAAAAATCCGTTTGAGCATCAAACGATAACCAAATTCGAATCCAAGCGTACCTCATGCTTGGGACAACATGGGGGACCAAATGGGCCACCCAAACTTGGCCCACGCGCCGTCACACAAGCCGGCAACGCTTGGGTGGCTTGAGAAAATTTTGTTGACCAGAAAATTCTCAAAACACTTAACAATACCTATACCTACATGATCAGGACAACTAGTGGAGCAACTTTTATTCTTGGATGGCCAGAACTTGCTGGAAATTAGAGCAAAAAATCGGTCAAAACTTTATATCGTAAAACGAGCTTCAAAACTTCAAAATCGACCATAACCAAACCAATCATCAGCTAAGTCATGTTGAAAGGATGAGAAAGCATACCTGGATCGACAAATTTGGTGGTCGAAATCATCGGAGACGACGACGGAAAATTTCAAAGAAAACGAGCAATTTTTGAGCTATTTTCGACGGCACTAGTGGCGTTTGCAGCAAAGAAGGGATATGATGCGAAGAGGAAGGCGAATCGGTTCTTTTGGGACTAGTCTCATGGCTAACGGTGGCCGGATGAGGGAGTTGCCGGCCAAAATAGTGGCCGACGGTGGGTTTATCGCTAGAGAGAGAGAGAGAGAGAGAGAGAGAGAGAGAGAGAGAGAGAGAGAGATCTGATTGGTTTTTTAAAAACAGACTTTGAAATATTTATGGTTGTGCCACTGCACTTCAGTTGATCATAACTTCTTCGTTAATACTTTGATTTGAGCCCATTACATGTCTACGAACTCATATCGCCACGCTCTATGCAACAATACTACTCGAATTCCCAAATTATCTCACGAACAAAAAGTCAACTTTTAACCCATTAAAATACTCTCAGGGTAAAATTATCTTTTATTTGAATAATTTAAGAATTAAATATTAATTTAGAATCAGATTATCACAATTTATTTTACGTTCTAAGTCTTAAGTTCGATTTCTCAATCTTCTAATATCGGCTTGTATAAAAAAATAAAAAATAATGAGCTAATTAACAATATAGTTGCCACACTAAAACACTGAATAAATAAATAAATAAAGATGCAGAACTCAAACAAAACAAAAAAGGAAAAAAAAAGAAATAAAGATGCAGAACAGCAGCAACGTGGACGGCTGCAATTGGCTGCCTCCCAAGATTAGTTGGAGAAGTGTGGAGACAAACAGAAGAATCAGGGATTGACGTGGAACCGCATCCACCCGTCCAAAAAACGACAGGAGAGCACCCCACCATTGGCTTCCATTTCAACCTTTATGTTTGCCATTTCTTTTGTTTTAAAATTGAAATTGAGCTTCACTCCAATGTCTGCTTGATGATGATACAGTGAATATCTCTCTATAATTGCTAAAATTCTTTATTTTCATATTGAGATTGAGAGTGTACTTATTTGTTGGCGAGAGAGAGAGAGAGAGAGAGAGAGAGATGGAGGTCGGGTTTTTGGGGCTGGGAATAATGGGGAAAGCCATGTCCATGAATCTGCTTCGCCATGGCTTCAAGGTCACCGTTTGGAACAGGACCCTCTCTAAGGTACTTATTGTTGTTATTGAAGAAGATACTTATTTGTTTGAATGTTGCTTAATGTTATAATCATCACTGTGGTTAATTGTTGTTACGTTCCCAATGAATTCAAGAGCCAAGTTTGTCTACTAAATCATGTGTGTGTATATATATATATATGTATGTATATATGTATGTATGTATGTATACATGTAAGAATGCCAAGTGCTAACATATGTTGATGGACTGAGAATCTGGGCATACATTCAGACAAATATTAATCTGGGATTCTGACAGGTGAACGTTTATCTAAATGTATGCATGTACTTGTGCATTTTTCGAGCTATCTATCTGGAAGTAATTTCTTTTCGGCTTTTTCCTGCAAAGTTGTTGGGCTGTTAATTTACACACATACTTGTCTCATCATATTAAACAGAGTGGCTTATTTGAAAATTTTCCTGCTTGGTGTAAGTAACTCTGGACTTCAAGTATTACAGAAAAAGTTGGTCGTAATAATAGTTATTGCCTACAATGCTTGCAACCTTTTAAAAGAAGTTGTAGATAAGGTGGTCTGCATAAAATTAAGGTATCAGTTGTGTTAATGTTTTATGTGAGTTACATATACACTCGTTATTTTTGCACCTAATCAGTGAGTTAAATCATTGTAGAATGCACACATGGATATGAGTGGGGCACTGAAAACTGGAATGTAAGGAGCAATCCATTATTATTTGAGAAATTAAAATTTGCATTAAAGTTAGAAGCTTTTCAAATTTGAATAAGCAACACATTGCCACGTTGCTTTTGGGTTTCAAGAACCAACCTGCTAGTTAACCTAATTCAAATTTTATTCCATGGAAAGCTCAGTGTGTTCCTGTTATCATCACTGAAAATCTCCGCATGGTCTGTAGTTGAGCTTGAGCGTAGGCTAAACCTCTACCGTATGTTGTGACTTGAAAACTTCAATTGCAGTGTGACGAGCTTGTGGAGCATGGTGCTTCTGTTGCAGAAACCCCTGCAGCAGTGGTTAAGAAGTGCAAGTATACAATTGCAATGTTATCTGATCCTTCTGCTGCCCATTCGGTTGGTATTTTTCACTTTGGTATTTTGACACTTCATTTACTTGACTTCTACTTATCGAAATGCAAAATACCTAGGTGGTTTTTGGCAAAGATGGCATTCTTGAGCAGATTTGTGCCGGAAAAGGTTACGTCGACATGTCTACAGTTGATGCTGATACTTCTACAAAGATTAATGAGGTTTGGGTTACTTGCTCTGCTACTCGATTGTTTTAACTTAAATAATAGATATTTTACTGTTGTTTAGGGTGTTCTCCTGGAGCCCACATTGTTATAGAAATTTAGAACATAACTAAGATGTTTTTATGCATATGTCTGTGGTAGAATTTCGTATCTGAAAAATCTAAGTTGGAGGATGAACTTGTATGAGTAGGCTAAAGAATGAATATTCCCAGAAAATTGTCTCAAATGGCGGACAATCTGTGAACGGTTAACTGCTTGTGTACCATGGTAGAATTTCAATGAGAAAAAGGACATAGTTAATACTTAATGCAAATGAAAGACATTTTTGATCTGTGGTTTTCTGATAGATGCAGGATTGTTCTGACTCAGCAGATTTTGTTTTGTATTTTTCATGTATTGTTGATGTAGACATGTAGGAAGGTAGGGTAGGTTCTTGACTAAATCTGGATGTAAGGTGAAGGATTTGCTAGAGTGAAGTTTATCTGTATCGTGGTGACCGGTGAAGACTTAGGGCTGAAAAAAAGTATGGTTCTAAGATGAGGAAAACCAAGAATTACTGGTTTGGCTTTGTTTCCTATTTACTATTGCCTTGCTGGAATTAACGTCTAAGAAAATAAAAAAGAATAGGAGATGAAGAAGAAACTCACATCACTGTGGAGTTTTAAATTTAAAATAGTAGGTGATGCATGTCCATGGGTTTTACCACCAATTTTCATACTGACAGGGGCAAACCTAGAATTGTAAGGTTGGGGAGCTGAATATTAAATAAAGTATCATATATTAATATTTGAAAGTTACATGGTTGAGCTAAATATTTTTACTTGTTTATGTTGGAGAGTGACCATTAACTTCAATTACAATCAATATCTATTTACTATATATATGGTTACTGAGCTTAGGATTCTGAGCCTAGACTAGGCAGTAGAGTAGAGTTAGAGTTCTAAGTTCTGTAATAAGCTTTCTTCATCGGTTATAGTATTTCTGTACTCTTATGGCATATTATTTGCATAAATTGAAAGTGAAAAAGAAACTAAAGTTAAAATTCTGGGTTCAGTACACATCAGATGAAGGCAACTCATACTCCTTCAAAAATCTTGAAATTTAGGAATCTGCAGGAAGTTCTTTATATTTGTCTTTGAGAAACTGTTTGTTTAGAAGACTTTTTACAGGTTGGTAGCAGTTCCTTTTCCTGGTTGGATGAACTTGCACTATGAAAGGAAATAGTTAAATATTTAAAACAAGAACACGAGGGTGTTCTATAGCCAAGTTAAGTTTACCAGATTATAGCCGACTGAATTAAAGAAAGGAGAAACTATAGACTGAAAATTTGTTTATGCAAGGTCCAAAAGAAAGGCTCTGCATGATTAGACTTATTGCACAATGCAACCAGCCTTTGCCTGACTGTTTAAGTCCCTAAGATTGGTCCCGAGATGTGCATCACCAATTATGCATTGATTTGGAGATGCTACTTTGCACTGACAATATTACAAACTGTTTAGTTTTTACTCATCCATATATTTCCTTACCTGTTAAAGCTTCAGGATGGTTTCTGGATTTATTACATTTTTTGGAAAATGGCTGTAATTTTTATGATGTAGTTTCCTTGGTATTTACTATTTTGAACTATTTATTCATCAAATAAATGAATTAAAAATTTAATCAGAGAAGTATCTTTCTACATATTACTAAGGTTTGCATAAAATATCTACAGGAAATTACAGCAAAGGGTGGTTACTTCCTTGAAGCTCCTGTTTCAGGTAGCAAAAAGCCCGCCGAAGATGGTCAATTAGTTATCCTTGCAGCTGGGGAGAAGGTAAATAGAGTAACGGTTGTTTTGCAGTTTGTTGCTATATACACAGTCCTTGCTACCTGCCAGATATATTTTGAGGTCTTATGGGGAGTAACATTGTTATAGACATAGTTGTGAATGTGCTTGGGGTACTTATGTATTTAGTGTCATTTTGCCTTCAGTTATGAAACATAGATGAATTTTTTTTACATTTCACCTTCTTGCACATGCTTTGGAAGGTTCACCATTGAATACAAGCGTGCACATGGGTTGGGTAAATTTGCGTTGGGATAATCAGGTTTATATGAATTAAGTAAGAGTCTTGCGTAACTTGAAGTTAAGTCGCTTAGAAATATGGGGTTACATTAGTTATCAATTTGAGGGTTACATTAGTGATCAATATGATCTTATTGTTTTCAAAGTTATTTTGATCGAGGGTTTTCTAGGAGCTTTAATTATAAAAAAAGGGTTCTCCAGGAGCTTTTAGCAATGGTAGTTTTCTTGAGTCTAAATATATCTGTTTATTGGGCATTCACCTAAAAAGCAATCATAATCTTTGAAGGACAAGGAATCATAGTTCTATTAGGTTGAATAAATCCAAGGTTCCTTTATGTATACTTTATTGTTTACAAAGTATTTAGATTTTGGTTATGGAATAATCAGGTTTTGGGGCTTGTTTACGTACTTGGAATCAGAATAGGAATAACAAATAAAATAAAAAGAATCTGGATAGGAAGGAATAGAAATGAGGCATTTCCTATTAAAGTGTTTACTCATTGTCTGAAATGGAACGAGGATACGATTGATTTTTCATTAACATGTTTATTAACTTCCAGGAATCCGATTCAAATCTAGTTTGATTACTTCAGTTCTATTGGGATGAATAAATTCACGATTTTATAAATATACTTCGTAATAAAGAAAAAAAAGAAGAGATTTTTGATTACTGAGTTTTTGTTGCATTAAGTCTTTGGATAATAAAAAGAAATCTGAATAGGATTCCACTTACAGCATCAACATGTTATATAACCAAGTTGAATAGAATGAAAAAGTAATAACAGAGCTTTAGCTACTGCATCAACATGTTATGAGTGCTTTTTTGGAGCAGTCATGACATGAGTTTCTTTCTTTAATTACACTAAAGTTTGTGATATGTGCAATAGATATGAGTAACTACGCCGTACCTATGTGTGGTTATCTTCAGACTTTGGATATTGTATTGCCACTAATAGAGTAAAGCTGGCTTTTTCGAATTCTAATCCATGCTAGGCAAAGTTAAAGCTTTATTAAGAGTCCTTGACTGTGAAAGAGCTTGTACACATGACATGGGCTTTACATATTTTTTTTTTTGCAAACAGCACTAGATTCCTGCGTAACCCCCACCCCCCAAACAAAAAGAGTAAAAGAAGTATTGTTTTTATTTTTATTCCTGAACACCTCAAAATTGTACATATCTTTCAAGTTTGAAGAAAGCGAAATTCAAGCCAGAACAAGATATGGTGAAAAAAAAAAAAAAAAAAAAAAAAAAAAAAAAAAAAAAAACTCTTAGGGATAAAGTTCTTCTTTTCCTAGGGCTAGAGAGTTGCAGAGTTTTGAGTAAGGGATGGGCTACAAAATACAAATAACTATATCATACTCTTTGGTTCAGAGTCAAGACTGCAATACCTATGGTTAAGTAAGGAGTACGATTCCTTCACATGCTTATTCCTATCCGTAGGTTACAAATGTGTTTATTTGTAACATTGCTGCAACAGTTCAACTGTTTATAAATGTAGGCATTGTACGAGGAAGTGATTCCTGCTTTTAATGTCATGGGAAAGAAGTCTTTCTACCTGGGGCAGGTTGGAAATGGAGCAAAAATGAAACTTGTTGTCAATATGATAATGGGAAGGTAATGGTTGCTTCCTCACAAATATCCATGATACAATGGAGACTCGTTTTTGCAGCTGTCTTTTCTAGTAGGAATATATGATACACTAATATTGTGTTGGAAGTTCATAAGCAGTATTCACAATGTCAGATCTAATATTGTCTCATACTATATCCTGGCCTATTCCTTTCAAGAATGCATCAACTTGTTTAAAAATGTTTTCATGCTCATGGAATAAGGTTGATATATTCTGTGATAAGCATTCTGTGGTAATCTACCGAGTGCTTTGACAAATTTCAGTTAACATGAATCCTTTTCTTGCAGTGGAGCCTCTCTTATATTGACAATGTAAAGATGTATAGTTTCAAAAGTTTTTTCTCCTATTTGAATATTTCTGTATTTACATATCTGGCTTGAGTATTTATATGTGCTTTTACATGGATGGAGCATCTTACTGCCTAATAAAAGAATAGTAATTAAATATTAGAAAAAATCTAATGCAAGTTGACATCAGATAATAATTAACTTGTTCCTTCTCATATAGTATGTATGTTCATACAACCAAAGCAATTATGATTTCATATTGTGCTGTTCTCTCCGTTGCAGCATGATCAATGCATTCTCTGAGGGACTTGTTCTTGCTGGAAGAAGTGGACTGGATCCTAGTGTTCTTCTTGATGTATTGGTGAGTAACAACCTAGACTTTCTTTTACTGGTAATGGATTCTCTTACCATTTATGAGTTTATTCTGGCAGGATCTGGGTGGAATTGCAAATCCAATGTTTAGATTGAAAGGACCCACTATGATTCAGGGCAGTCACTCTCCTGCATTTCCTTTAAAACATCAGCAGAAAGACATGAGATTGGCTCTTGCCCTTGGGGATGAAACTGCTACATCAATGCCAGTAGCTGCTGCAGCTAATGAGGTTATGCTCTTCATTCCTTCTTTAATAACTGTCTACAAAGTCAGTTATTTTCTGTTATACAAAAGGTATTAACCTTGAGAAGCCATAGAAGCCATTGGAGATTCACGGCAAGGCCAAAGATCTTCCTCTCTCTCTCTACACTCCTCATGCACACTAATATGGGTATTTTGTGCTTGTGTAGTGTATAAGAGGGGGATCTAAATCTTATATTTATAGGTGAGTATTAGGTTTTCTTGCCATAAAGAAAACCTTAACACTTATCCTTGTCACCATCCATAATCCACAACCTAGTAGGATGGATGTCCCTATCGTTTTAGGACTCTACATCACCTTAAGTAACCGGATCACCAAATAAATTTTCATATTCTTTTATCCTTAATCAATTAAGACAAATTAAGTCTTACATGCTCCCACTTGGGTGCCACATCTGTACAAGAACCATCTTTAAGATCAAGAATCAATATATCCTTATTCACACAACTTCGGAAAGTAGTTTGATAACAATATTTATCTCAAACTTGTGTCAAATATTGTCAACTCATAGGATTATGGATAGTAGTAATCTCTTATCAGGTAAGTAGACATTACTACTCTATAATCACGTACAAGCAACAATATCCACAAAGTACCATCAAGTTATGGTCGGAGTAATATGATAAGTGATCTTGATCTGAAGGTTAATACACTTAGTATATAGTCCACTTTATGACCACAATATGATCTGTCTTTAATGCTTTATGAGAAATCCTTAAAGTCAATAAAGACAACCTTAACAATATAGCAAAAAAGCTTAAATAGAACTGTACGTTAACTTTATCCATTGTAAAACTTCAAAACAAACATAACAATCCTTGCATATCCATGTATTCATAACTGAAAAGAAAAATGATCTAGAAAAATAATATAATACAAACGCGGATCAGTGGATCATATCACTACATCAACACAAGTTTGTCCCTCTACTTTCTCTTTCACTAGCAGGTACTTGACATCATCATGCTTAACTCCAGTTGATCTTTTGTTGTTCTTGCAAAAGAAGACGGCTCCCTTATTATCACAATATAATTAAGCGAGCTTAGACATTGATTCGACAACTTGTTCCTTATTATCACTCTCTCCCAAAACAAGCATAGAGTCTTTGACAATCCTTCTTAGTTAGTTTGTCAGAAAATATCAGTGACACCAACCTAATTTTGAAAACCCATAATAAATCCATTTCTCGTAAGCTAGTGCCTAAAGAAACCTTAGAATGTCTAATAAAGCATGTGATTTTCTCAGGAGTTTTTTCGAAGTGCAATGACCTCAAAACAAATATAATATTCGCGATACTCAAATTGGACAACATGTTCCAGATTTCTGTCTACTTAATCTTTGACCTCTTGCCGAACAATTTTCTTCCTTTCATGATAACTTTTATGCAAGAACCATTAACAAAGACTCCATAACTTTCATGATAACTTATCACATATTGTAAATTCTCAAAGGTGAGCAACTTATCTTGAAAACCCTTTAAATTCAACATACTGCCAATTGGTTTTTTAAGTGTGTTTGTCAATACTTGATAGTGTTGGTATCCGTCTTTTAAATTGGTTTTTTAATGCTTCGAACTACTTGCAGTTTATCTTGAAGCAATGAGATTTTAAGTCATAGTACAGTATTTTTATTTGTTGGAAAGAAATGAGTTTTGGAAATTATTTCTAGTGGAAAAGATTGATATCAGAACTAAAATATTTGTTATTTACATGTATCTTAGGCTTTCAAGAAGGCAAGAAGCATGGGGCTTGGGGACCTTGACTTTTCAGCTGTGTATGAGACCGTGAAGGCTCTTGAACCACCCTCTTAAAAAAGCTGACTGCTTGAAGCAAAGCTTTGTATCATTACTGAAAGGGTGATTATTGCTCACCCTAAAACTTTGCTCTCAACTCTGCAGGATTTAACAATAAACTAGTTTTATGGGCACGTTTCTCTCCTTGTAAAATAACTTAGTTACTTCAAAGCTCAAAACTCTAAGCAATAAAATATTTCTTAAAATATTTCAAGAAAAAAAGGGATATGATGTTTAAGCCATCAACTATTTTCTCTCTACACAATTATCTCAATAAATATCACGCCATTGATCCTAGAACTGATCCAAATCAGATTTCAACTTATGCTTTAGAGATCTCCAGTTGACAACTCCTTTTCATCACAGCTTTTCAGATTGCTATGTCATTTCGTCACAACTTTTCCGATTGCTCTGCCATCTTGCTGGTATGATTTCCAATTGACGTAACATTCTTTGAAGATTTGAGACCTTTTTTCAGCTTGAATATAGTATTTCTGCCACTAGATTACATTATTTTTATGTTATTTACTGCGTTGAAGCAAACAATTAATCCTTTTACCTATGAATCCAATCAAATTGAATTTCATGCATGTTTTCAGTTCTTCTTGCTTCTTTTGCTTTACAATCAAATTTCAATCCTCATCTTTTTTACTAGATAAATAGTAAAGTTCTCAAGGCACAGAAAAAATAATAATTTTGCGACAGTTCCCCACACGGAGCACAATGGTTTGGTTTAAATGTCATGTTATTTAATTTCTCAATCTCTGACCCTTTGCAATGCTTTTTATAGTGACACGCTCCCATGCAAAACAATCTACTGGCCTATCTTTAAGGCTGGTTAGATTAGGGTTCAACACACCAATCTTTGGCATCAAACAGAAAACATGTTACGGAAAAACCTCATACTGAAGAGAGTTAAGCCAACTTTGGGTCAGTCTGGCTTGTCTAATTATTGTAATAACAGTTTCAACTCTTTCGGGGTTGATGCGTGTTTTTTTTTAGGAAAATGCTAGGGACACCAACTTTAGATACCAACTTGTGTACCAACTCTCTAATAGAGCATGAGACCCATTGTATTAGTGAGCTCCACCTCTATTAGAGAGTTGGTACACAAGTTGGTATCTAAAGTTGGTCTCCCTAGCATAACCTTTTTTTTTTATATGTGGGAGAACTTGGGTTGGTAGTTCGCGGTACGAGGGCTATCCTTGTCTTTTCCGGATATGCGTTTATGCCGGACTGGTTTATGCCCTGCTTAGCTTTGAATGGAGGTATACTATATAAATTGTCATGTTACGTCACACCTTAAATACGAGCAATACGCTAATACATTATTTTATTACAAAAGCATTAAGAATTGCATTGTCCCAGCCGATATATACACAAAGAAAAAGAGAAAACAAAAACAGGACAAACAGCCCAATATAGAGAACATTATCAGCTATGGTAAGAGATATTCGTAGAATAGACAATCAAAACTTTACTTTCTTTTAAAGCCAACAAAAACGTTCTACCATATCAAAACAGTGCCACAACACAATATTTCAAAGTAATGCACCCGTCTCTTGACCTTCTCTCAGACCTTCGCGTACTTACATGCTCAACCATTAAGCTCTAGGGTTGGATGGCAAACAGTGGCTGCAAGAAATCAAAAGAAGACAAGATAATGTTATAGGATATCTTCATGTGATCATTTCTCATGGATGTCCAAGAGAACTCACCGTGTCGACACTAACAGGCTTCCCATCCTCCACGAGGATCTCAACTACGGTTCCAGATTGATCAGCCTGAAGAAAATATATCACTCAATCCACATTACTGACTGAATATATTTTTTCTTTGATTGAATAAGCAGATATGGTGAGAGACACAAAAAAATTATCATGCTTATAGACATGATTAACATAAATAGTAGACTGTTGCAACTTAAAAATACACTTGCAAGAAAGGAGAGCTGAAAAATAAAACAAAAAACAGGTGCAGTGTGAAAGCTAATTTATAGTCATATATGAATTCTTTTATTGAAAAAAAAAACATTATATCATGTAATTGCAAAGTTAAACAAAGAGTGAAGAGAGGGTGGTTACAAGCAGCAGTGGAAATAAACAAGTCATCTTAGGAAGTAGTATCTAATTATTGTGATGTGCCATGAACATAAGAGATCCGGTAGAAGAAAAACTTACTTCTATCTCGTTCATCAATTTCATGGCCTCAATGATACACAAGACTTGTCCCTTCTGTATTTTGTCCCCAACCTATTGAGAAAATTTTCATGTAAGCCGAAAAAAAGTAATGCAGCAACAAAAACACTTAAGCAACCACTAAGGAACGTAGGCTGCAAGTAAAATTCTAATTAGAGAAGAAAAACCTTCACTAATGGCGGTTCACCAGGTGCCGGACTTCGATAGAATGTCCCTGCCATAGGACATTTAAGAGGGGGCAGCGATGTTTTGGCTGACTTAGCATTAGGTGAAGATGGTGCAGGGAAAGTTGCTGGAGGAGATGATGGGGCAGACGAAGAGGCAGGAGCCGCTGGAGCAACTGGAGGAGGGGCTGCTTGCATCATAGGGACTGGAGCAGGTACCGGAGGTTGAGGCAAGGCTTCCTTTTTACGAATTATGACTTCAAAGTCAAGCTGTTTGAGCTGCAGCTCAACAATGTCTCTCGAGTCAACAAGCCTGCAATCCGGAAACAAGAATCAAGATGATATTATCCAACCACACTTCAGATCAGATGGTTAAACTAATAAAGAACTGAAGATGGGGGTTGCTCACTTTACGAGACTTGCAACTTGAGCTATGAATTCCGATATTGATTCCTCTGTATCCAAAACTGCAGGACAAGACTCATCGGATGTCTTTCGATCCTTGGACTCCTGGGATGGAAGCTCCAATTCTCTTGGGGGTGTAGCTGCAACATTGGATGATCCATCCACCTTGAAGGCAACAGATGATCCAAGGAGCATGTCCAGGAAGGAAAGAAAATTTGAAAAGTGATCCTCTAACGAAAACCATTTAAAGAACCCTTACCTCATTCCAATTGACCTTTCACCACAGTGGAACAGTTCCGACTAGGCTGCCCAACCCTAACCATTCAAAACAAACAAAACTTTATTATTACTTCCACACTTACAATTAAAAAAAAAATAAAGATTGAAATTATTAAGAATAAAAAAAAAAAAAAAAAAAAAAAAAAAAAAAAAAAAAGACAAAGACACACAGACATAGATGCATATAATCCCCAACAAAAAAACTGCTTTCATATTCTGTGAAAAGAAAAACTTATTTGTCACATATATATATATAATCCCCAATAAAAAATAAAAGTGCTTTCACATTCTGTGAAAAGCAAAATTTCTCAGGTAAAACAGTCAAAGAAGATGACTGAAAAGTCTGATGAGGTTCAAAAAACAAACCAAATACAACATGTATCACTGCAAAATTAAAGACAACAACTTCTGACAAAGAAGGGCACTTAATTTTGATAGATTGATTCGTTTTGGGTGCGACTGTGACACACACACACACAGATATATATATATATATATATATATATATAGAGAGAGAGAGAGAGAGAGAGAGAGAGAGAGAGAGAGAGAGAGAGAGAGAGAGAGAGAATCTCTCCCTATTATTCAAGATTCAAACTCACCAACATAGTCTAAATTATGGTTTAAAATATTGCTAACAACAAAGCAGGACTGAAAAAATTCTGCTACTTCACATAATTTGGAAGTTGAGAATCATCTGTTGTCTCAAGGGAGAGGTTTTCTATTCACAAAAATCTATCAGCTATTAAGAAGACTCAGAAAGCTTAAATACTCTAGTGCCTCCTCAAAGTATGGTCAAACCCCACATTGCCCCTTGAAAGTCACAGTGACACACCTTGCCCCATTGATTGACTCTTGGCATCTTATTTTGCCTTACACTGTCAAGTCCATTAACGAATCTGTCAAAAACAATGACATGGCACAAACGGTACTTACTATTTTGCATAAATGTTTGCCATGTGTAAAAAAAAAACTTATATATAGATAATAATAATTCAAAAATAAAAAATATCTCCAGGTTCTTCCTCCCTCTTCCCCTCTCTGTCACTCCACATTTCCCAAGGATCCCAGCCGTGCCATCCCCATCAGCATTGACCACAGTACCACCTCCAAAACCACTCCTCTCACCTTCCTGAAACCCACACCATTGCCAATTCCCCCTCTCTCCAAACGAAACCCAACTACCAAGAACACCTACACTGTAATAAACACCGAGCTCCAGGCATCCACATTCAAATACCAACTTCAAGTAGTAGAACTACTCTAGACCCTGAGTAACCACATTCATCTTCCACTAGTCAGTCGGTATCCATTTTTGATAGAGAAAATCCCTCTCTGTCTCATCTCTCACCTCTTCACCCCTCACATTTCAATGGATGAAGAGGATCCAATAACCCACCAGGGATCCCATATAACTCAAAGTTGGAAAATCCATTCTAACAAAATCACTATCAAGGGTAAGTAACATAATAAATCAAAGGATCTGAGGAAACACCATTGCATGATGTGATCTGGGAGATTATTAACATTGAAGTTCTAACATAAAAGAAAGTAAATACTATTTCCTTCATTTCTTAGGTTTCAAATAACACATTTGCATACATCTTAACACAGATCAACCATTTGAATTGATTATTTGGACAGTTTCAACGATGTATTATATGTGATTGACATAAAAATCAACAACTGAGAATGAATGAGGGGTAAATACATTGGAGTAAACAAACAGTTGCGACCATCCAAATAAGTAAGTCAATACATTGGAGTAAACATAACAGTCGTCAACTTCACTTTCAAATTTCCAAGCAATAGAAAAGTCAAAAGCCTAACAATTTCCCCAGAAAATAAAAAGGAAAATTCTAGGGAGACCAACTTTAGATACCAACTTGTGTATCATCTCTCTAATAGAGCTGGAGTCCAACTGGGTATTTGGTAGTATTCGTTTAAGTACTAAACCAAGGTGTTAAAGTATTAATTTCTGCTAAAGTTAGCATTTTTTTTTTCTTTCTTTCAGAAATGGCCATTGAGAAAGCTAAACTTCGGGTATTTTTATTTCTAAACAATTTCGTGTTCATTAGAAGTTCCTCGTATATGGAATTTTGAATTAATACACAATTCCTGAACTGAAACAACAAAACCATCTTGCACAAGAATATAGAAATGACTCAACTAATAATACAAAATTGCAAATAATTGATAAAATTCTTAATCTTTCGTTCCTGCATTTTCCCGGAAAACAAAGCGTAGCTGAGAAAAAACAAGAAAATCAAATTCCAGGGAGACAGAGGAATACCTTGGAGAAGAATCGGAGCTTAGGCTTGGGAGAGAGACAAAAGGAGACATTAGATAAACAATTGTGCTTGTAAGTATTGTTATTGGTTTTATAATGAGCCAAATTTGTGCTGGTGGTTGCAGCCGCCGAGGTTGTTGCCAGAGACGATGCCATTCTTCTTTAGAGCTTCAGAGGCAGAAACTGCAAGCGTTTTCAAACAATAAAAAACTCGTAACAATTACATAACAATCAGCTCTGCCTCAGCCTCAGGTCGATGAAACCGAAAACGCACAGCATAGCGAACCCCATGCGCTAGCTTTCCACGTGTCCTTTTATTAATTATGTAGGAAAGTTGTTCAAAACTCTACAACACAAGAGAATGGTTAGAGCATTTCCAGCAAGGGGATCAAGGGAAGGGCTGGGGGGGTTTTGGCCCAAAATGCTGTTTTCCAGCAATGAAAGGAGAGGGGGAAAAAAAAAAAAAAAAAAAAAAAAAAAAAAAAAAAAAAAAAAAAAAAAAAAAAAAAAAAAAAAAAAAAAAAAAAAAAAAAAAAAAAAAAAAAAAAAAAAAAAAAAAAAAAAAAAAAAAAAAAAAAAAAAAAAAAAAAAAAAAAAAAAAAAAAAAAAAAAAAAAAAAAAAAAAAAAAAAAAAAAAAAAAAAAAAAAAAAAAAAAAAAAAAAAAAAAAAAAAAAAAAAAAAAAAAAAAAAAAAAAAAAAAAAAAAAAAAAAAAAAAAAAAAAAAAAAAAAAAAAAAAAAAAAAAAAAAAAAAAAAAAAAAAAAAAAAAAAAAAAAAAAAAAAAAAAAAAAAAAAAAAAAAAAAAAAAAAAAAAAAAAAAAAAAAAAAAAAAAAAAAAAAACTAGTCTTGCCTCCATGCATAAGGAGCTGTCCTCGAGCTGCAAACCATCAGCGTGTGGGCGGGGAGTATTCCAACCATGGGAAATGAGTGGACACGGGCACCCAAGTAAGGGAGAAGGTAGGCCACAAATCCTTAAGCCAACACAAATATGAGATATCCCAAAAGGATAGATATGGCTGTAGATCCGCTTAGAGGGTAAACCACAAAATAATGGATGGAGTGATAAGCATTGGATAGGTATGGCTGGTCTATATCAAAATATGGGCATCATCGTTGGAGCACGCATGCTTCATGTGAATAGCAAATGGACACCAAGTCCCTCACATGTAGCCTTAGCAAAAGGAATTTAGGATCATACTCCCTTAATGAAAACCATCTTGAAGACTTATCTCTACTCCACGTCATCAACTGCTTGGGCCGAGACTTCTTCACTTACGGCCGGTTTCAATGCTCCTTGAACTTCCCTATTTATTTTCCAAAGTTCATTTTTTGAGGAATTTTTGCATACGACATTTGCTGGGATCGCATCGAGTAAGGGAAGTTCACTTGCAACTTTGGCAGAAAGTCGCTATGATCCCTTTGAAACTTGCGCCCTTCTTGGAATGCGAACAAACCTAGCGAAAGTGACCTCTTGAGTAGCGATATTCACAAGAGAACTTACCTTAGAGTTGGTCACTTGGACCGTACCTGGCCAAGGGGGAGCCACAGTTTTGGTTGAATTGCTCTCCTCAATTTGCTCTCCTTTTTCCCACCTCTTTTCCCCCTTCGAAGAGTATCTCTTTGCTGTTTCATGGCCTCCTTAGAGTTGTAATTACTGCTTGGAAACTTTCCCTGTCTCTTTTTTTTGTCGACTTCAAAGAGGTTGCAATTTTGTCCACTGTTTTCCGCTCTTGGTTCCTGGAGACATTTGTGTATGTGTGTGGCCCTTGTAGTTTCCCTCCTGCATAAGGGTCTAACACCATAAAACACTTGAGTGCGTTACCAAATCATTAATTAACTCGTTCTAAAGACTTACTTGCCCAGGAGGTGTAGGGTGCACTTTTTTGTTATAAAAACCCCTAAAACAGGCATTGTGTTATTAGGAATTCAAGAAGCATTTCTCAGTAACTAATTCTATAACCCCATTCATTCGTTTGCAAACAAGAACAGCATTCATATGTAAAGTGACCTATTGTTCCTAACCAACCATTACTTCAAGAACATGCTTCCAGTTAGACTAGCTCAAGAAACCCAATACCATAATTCAATAACTATAGAAACCGAACTCATCACGCTTTGTAGAACTGAAAATCCAGTCAAACTTGTTATAAAATTGAAATCATGTTTAGGCTTCAAGCATTAAGCCCTAACTAACAATAAGTATTACTCCCTGTTCTTGAAGAACCAAAGTGACTACATAAAACTGCAAAGTGCAAGGAAGGAGTAAAAGAAAGACTCGTTGGCAACATTCTCCTCATTCCGCGTTGATCTCGCTTAGGACGTGAATCCTTTGTATGGGGCCTTGCGCTCCCTTTTATATCACTTATATATTTCGAAACCCCTAATGATGACAGAACAGTCTTCCAGAATCCTGGGTAAACAAGGAATCCACAGAGAAAGTAAAATCACAATATCCTAACATCTCCATAGTAAATACTGCTCAGCCCAATGTCCAATCCCTAACCCGATTTGGGGATCGGCACCTTCTAAAAAAAATAACACTGAACTGTAAATTCGGGAAGGCTTCCGTTTCGTTCCCCATGCACGAACATGTACGAAACGTCCCGTCTGCACATGGCTAACTTCACTGTAACATAGCCATTTGCATACATAGAAAATTCTACAAAAATATAATGAACTTCAGGATGTTATCTTTCATCTCCCATGGCCTTGTTGAGCTACAACCCCCTCCCGAAAGAGTTGATTTCCCTTAAAAACCTTCGACAGCAAGAAAGCTGAAAAAAAGCAAAAGAAATGTAATAAGCCTTTTACATCTACTTCTCCTAACACAACCTAAGTAAAAAGAGTACAGAAATGATATTTTATGGACCTTATTAGCAACCATATCATAGATTAATGTCCTCACTTAGTCCATTTTATACATAGTACAGATTGACGTACAAAATTATGCCCCGGCAGAATGTCCGCAAGAGACTTGCGTCATGCAATACAATCCTTCAACGGATTTTATTTAAGTGATTAACACTTTCATGAACATTATATAGACTTAGGGCGAGAGGCTCCATGCAGGGTAATAACCCCTTAAGATAACATGTTGGTCTCCGTAACTTTTCATGAGAAGCATGATTGCATCTTTAAATCTTGAGAACCTCACATTCTCATTTCTACCAGAAACATAGTGTCCCCATAAAATTGAGTATGATTCCCTTTTTATCTAACACCCAAGGAAATAATTCAAGTTCCCATCTTTTGGGGTCTTCTATGGATTGTTCTCTTCATGTTTCATTCTCATCTGAAGGGAATGCCCCTCTTCCCATTTTTTGCTATGAGATTGTCCAAACATTTAAAATAGAACGTGTTCCAACAACCACAGCTCAGTGATGATTATTGAGTATCTACCCAAACCAAAAATGATCATTCCATCCACTTCCTGAGCCCCCATTCTATGTGCATGCCATGCATCATATGATAAACATTGCTTTGCTTTGGGGTACCCATTCCAGATAACATTTGCTTAAGATAATATGGAGAAAGAGCTTAACCTCCCATGGAGCTTATTATAGTAGCGCGTGGTATCTCCATCAGGAGTTGGAACATTAGAACCCATATATCTGTCGTATCAGGCTGCCATAGATTAAAATACATACATGTCAATTAGTTGTCCGTCTGGGACTTTACAACCAGATAAGTGTACCACTTAGGCGCGCACTGTCTTCATATTGCACATAGATGATTTGTCCTTTTCGGACTGTGAGCCATATCATTGGGCTACACACCAAGCTTGCATCCATATTAGCACTGCTAGACCCATGTTCTGTAGATATGACTTAATCTTTGCATCTGTAGTACTCAATGATTCACTGGCAAGCTGTGATCTACATAAAATTCATGAATACATATCAGATATACAAGCCCTTCTTATGGAATGATAATACAATCATTCTTCTAGAACGTCTATAGGCAAGCATTCTTCTGGAATGTCCTTTGCATGGCGTTCTTCTGAACAACCTTATCTCCCTATTTTGTTACCTTTAAGGATGTCGTACAAAAAAAATAGAGTACCAAGTATTTGCTTACATCCTTAGGGTTGAGAAAACTTGCTCACTCAAATATCATTCAAGCTCGATCGGCTCAAAATCTATGTAATGCTTGATGATATAAGTTTATATACCTACAAGAGCAAAAATCACAATTTCTTCTATCTCTGTAAAAAAAAAAAAAACCCCTCAGTGTTAGGTTCACTACATGGATTGGTTCTTCAGATGTTCGTTCTAAAGAAACAAAATCCCTATGAGCAGACAGAGTTGTAAAAAGAGAGAGAAAGATGCAAAGAATTGTGATATTGATTGCAAGGTAGGTAAGAAATCAACAACTCTCATTTTCTTCTAGCCTAGAAGAACTTCAGGATTAGAGCATGTGGTCATCCTTATAGTTCCCTGATCTATAGCGGAAACATGATTAGGGATAGTCTCGCGTCTCAAGCACATCAAGTGTTTCACTGATAGGAAAAACAAGTGGATATTGCATCACTAAGATATGAGAAACGGATGTATTCTGCAAAGAGATTTCATTAGTAACATATTTTATACATAAATTAGAGGAATAGGTAGATTCAGTGAATTTCAAATTAACCACCAGAAATTTGTGAGGTTCTCAGGATGCTTTTGAAAAAGTAACTCCGTGAATCCGCAAAGTCAGATCAACTTTGATGAAAATAGTCAGTGAAACCCTAAAGTGCCGCGATACATTAATGGAGGCCATATGAAGTTTGGAATATGAAAAAGAAAAGAACAGAGAAAAAGAATATGGGATTCCGAGAACATATGGGATCCTGGGAAGGAACAGTACACATTTTCCTCTACAGATATTGCCTCTGCAAGGCCTAATCTGCATTTCAACTTCAACTCCTTCCATTTTCTGAAAATTCAGTGTTATATGACTTTCCTCAAACCCAATGGCTTCCTCTTCTTCGCGCCCAAATCATTTTGATTTAAATGTCTCTCAAATTACACATTTCAATGCATATAAGTCCGGAAACTTCTTGCCCGGGCTAAACATGAAACTCAGTTTATTTGCCCTTTTGAAATGGGCAGGAAATAAACTTATTAAAGCCATGATAATATTGCAATATATGAGTGAAGAGCATTAACTACTATATACCCAAAATTTCAGGTTTGGGATTTCTCATATATTTGGATCATGAGCTTCCGGCCTAGATCATATAATATAACAAAATATGTGGGGAGCCTCAATTCATCCTTTGAGGTTTATCCTGATATTACTCATTTCATGGTGTATTCTTAACAACTGGAATTCACAAAATATATTTCTTCCTTGAGGTGTCAATTATAACATAGTCGAAACTTTATTAAATTCATCATTTTCTTATGCCAAGGAAATATGTGGTGTACCACGATTGCAATAATACCTCAAGGGTTGTCCATTGAACTATTGGAACTTCAGGTTCTCAATATTGTCAGATTTAGAACTTCAAGCCAAAATCGCATATTTTCATGGTATAGACATTTTTATAATCTCCCGTACATATTTCGGACTTCAGGCCCTTACATAATTGTCCATGTTTGAGGAGCTTCTACTTCTCATTTAATAGCTCATCCATGAGTTTAAGGAACTGCAGGTTCCCTTTTGTATATAATGACGGTTTACCCAAAATGGTTAATATTATGTATACGTCACTATTCATGTATACGGTACTATTCATCAGGTCAGGAATATGTGTCTATTCATGTGTACAGTACATTTGCCAGTATAATTACTATTCATTTATATGGCACTATTAACCAATATGGTACTATTACATTATCAAGGAACTATAGGTCCTTATAAACATGTCAAGGATCAAGGATCAAGGATCCGATCTCTTGTTTACAAATATAGTACCAGAGAGACTGCCAACTCTCATATCATTATCAAGTATCTTCAGGTCCTGATGTAGTTGTATGATGAGGATCAAGGAACTTCTGGTCCTGATCTCTATATGTTGTAAAACTCATCATATCACACAATTAATAAATTGCTATAAATTGCTTGTATGGACGATAATTCCGCACCATACTTTAACACTACTACAAAAAGGGCCATAGACGAAGGGAATTCACCGTCGTCTAGCAAGTTTTTCGAACCGTCATGAAATCGACCAACATCTTTTTAAAAAAAGAACCACAACGGTTAAAACGGAGACGTTGTTCATAGAGAAACAACGTCGGAATAAATCAAAGCCAACGTAAAGTAAAGAAAATGTGCCTGATTCAACAAGTCATATAGATGTGCCTGATTCAACAAGTCATTTACTATTCATTTATACGGAGACGTTGTTCTCCAAGACATATAGATGTGCCTGATTCAACAAGTCCTGATCAACTAAACTCACTGTGCAACCTGATAAGGGCTTGAAAGTCCCATCTTCTGGCTTGATGACACTCCAACTGTACTAACATAAGATAAATGCTAGGTGTAAAACTCTACAGCTTCTTCAGCTATATACCGCTCAGCAATGTAACCTTCAGGATGATTACGGTTCTGAACATACCCCTTTAGCACTTTCATATATATTTGAACGGATACATCCATCTAAAATAAACTGGCCCACATAGACGAACTTATCTAACAAGATGTATTACTAGATGAACCATGATATTGAAGAATGAAGGGGGAAAGTACTTCTCAAGAAAACACAAAGTTACTACCTTCAACCATTTGTAACGCTTCTTCTCCGGTTAATGGCTTTGGAGGCATGTCATATTCAGGTTTCTCATTAAAAGCTGCACGTTGCCTCCAATATGGATGATATATTGGTAACCATTTTCTATGCCTGATGTAACATATTTTGTGGCCATTTTTCAACCTGTGACTAGGTGTATCATCACCGCATATTGGATAAGCTTTATATCCTTTTACGATACAACTAGATAAGTTTCCATAAGCGGGAAAATCATTACTTGTCCACAGTAATGCAGCTCTGAGTGTAAAGTATTCTCCTATGTGAGCATCATACAGTCCTTTAATCCCATCCCACAAAGATTTAAATCATTAATCAAATGCGCTAAGTAGACGTCTATATCATTTCCGGGTTGTTTCAGACCGGAAATCAATAAGGTCAATATCATGAACTTTCGTTTCATGCATAGCCATGGTGGGAGATTATATGTAACTAAGATAACTGGCCAACAACTATATCTAGTACTTAGAGAACTGTGGGGATTGAATCCATCAGATGAGAGAGCCAATCTCAAGTTTCTCGGCTCATTACCAAACTTGGGCCATTTATCATCAATGAGTTTCCAAGAGGGAGAATCAGCTGGATGAGACATCTGACCTTCAATTGCTTTTCTATCAGCATGCCAAGTTAAACTCTTGGTTGTCTTACGTGATTGAAATATCATTTTAAATCTTGGAATTGGTGGAAAATACCACACTACCTTTGTTAGGACACACTCTTTCAAGATTGAATCTTTGCCCTCCTTCCATCTTGAGATTCCACAAGTAGGACAATGAGTTGAATGTTCATACTCCTTCCTATACAAGATGCAATCATTGGGGCATGCGTGGATTTTCTCATAACTCAGCCCCAATGCAAACAAAGTCTTTTTTGCCTCATACATAGAAGAAGGTATTGTATTTCCTTTTGGAAGCAATTCTCCTTGAAGTATCAACAATTCTGTAAAATAAACATCACTCATCTCATGTTTTGCCTTCAAATTATATAACTTCACTAATGCGGACAACTTGGTGTACTTACTACAACCAGGGTACAAGGGTTGATCTCCATCGCCAATCACATCGGCGAACTCATAAGGATCGGATCCAAAATCGCCTAAATCATTATCATCCATCTCTATTTCTTCAAACACAAAACTGTACCTACTATGTTCATCATCTTCTTCCACATTTCTACTAGCATTAGTAGTTGCTTGCCAAGGTTCTTCGTGAAATGCCCAATTCTTATCACTTTGGTCAACTCCATTAAAGTATAAGTGGTCCCTTATAATTCCAACCCCAAACAATCGAACATTCCCATATTTAACACATGGACAGTGAATATGTGTTGTGGTTAGAAGATTTTCTATTGAAAATTTCAAAAATGCTTCCACCCTAACTCATATGCCTTCGATCTTCTATCCGCGTGCATCCATGACTTATCCATCTCCGACAAAATACCCTATTATTTATAATAAGGTGAAAAGACAAGCAATGACCATCACTATAGCAGATTATAATTACTTTGATAGAAAGTAATTTAACATAAAGACGACGGTTTTTTAAAATATCCGACGTTTTATACTTATTCATACGTCAGTTTTTGAAAAACCCGTCGTTTGAAGCTATTAACAGTGATTTTGAATACAGCAATACAGACGACGGTAGTTAAATAAACACTGCCTTGTAGATAAATAAAGACGACGGTTTTTAAGAAAAACTGTCGTCAAACTCTTAAACAAAAGGAGGCTAAGTCTTCTTTTATTCAAACCATTTCCAAGAACCCAACATATGTTAACAACCCATAACATTGAATTTTTATGAAAATCATGCAAATATTAAAGCCATTCCTTATTCATAACAACAGAGATTGATGAAGAACATACCTATGAAAACATTAAAAGATCACAAAACATATATCTAAAACCCAACAATGAAGTCTATGATTGTACTTCAGAACCCAGAACTGAATATATCTAAACCCTAAACATATATCTAAAGTCATTCCCTAAACCCTATATGTTTGTACTTCATAACCCAAAACTAAATATCAATCAATGAATTAAGAAGCAGGATATTAGGGTTTGTACTTATAGGCAGGCAGAGCTCACAGATTATGGCCTCCTTGGATTCGACAGATTATGGCCTCCTTGGATTAGAGTTGAAGTGAGAGAGCGAAATGTAGACTTGAAGAAATTTTTAGAAAGCGCGCTTCTTCAAACATCGACATAAATCATACAAAACCGTCTTTAAAAACACGTCGATTAATATATGAAATACGACGTCGTAAAGCAGTAAGACGTTGCTAAAACATAAAACCAACGTTGAATCCACTAAATAATATTCCTGGGATTTGGATTTGCTGGGATTCGAATGCGTGTGCGCAAGGGAAAAAAAAATACAACCTTGGCGTCATACTAAACCCTAAACCCTAAACATTAAATTATAAATTTGTAAAACAAAATTGTAAAAAAGGTTTAGAGTTTAGGGTGGTCATATACTAAACCCTGAACCCTAAACCCTAAACCCTAAACCCTAAATAATAATATATTTTTAAAAAAAATTGTAAAAAAATACAAATGTTTGAGAAAAATAAACCAAAAATTGCTACGGACTCCGTACACAATGCCGCCTAAATTAGATTGCTAAAACCAGTATTAAAATATATATATATATATATCCCCACCAATGAATGACACAAGCCATATGATTTTTTGAAGAAACTATAAGGGATGTTGTGATTTATTTGTTTATGTGGACATTTTTCATTTTTATAACTCAAATTACATTTTTAAAGGCTTTAGGACAAAGAAAATATCTTAATGACTGCATAGGAGTTGTGGTGTATTTTTGGAAATTTTACAAATTTATTATGAATATAATGAATTAAGGTCAGTAAAAAATTGTTATAAACACAACAAACCACGTTGGTTTTAAATTCGTATACCGTTGTATGCATGTTAAACTTCGGTATTTATACAGATACCGATGTTGTAAATAATGTACGACGTCACAGGATTAGGACATTGTTTCGATTCTCGTACGTCGCCTATGGTATTAACCGGAAGGGTAAAGAGCATAGACGTCACACAGCTTATAAATAAACTGATGTTGTAGCGAAGTTCAAAAGTCATAAAATAAGTCAAAACTGCCACCAAATAAAATATAAGACGTCAGACCTATATACGTCGCGTAAATAAAATAACGTCGTTGTAAGTATTTGACCAGACGACGGTTATTAAAAGGGATGTCGTTGAAATTGCATAAGACATCGTTTGTTATCAAGTTATCAGCGTGGTATTTGCTTCATGGCTCTTTTTGTGTTAGCAACGTCGTTTATTGTCTTTATTGAATTTACCGTCATGTTACAGGATTTTACATGTCATTTATTGAATTTACCGTCGTTTGTTTATTTTCAAGTTTTGTAAGACATCTGTTGTTGAAACTATTATGTCGTTGGAAGGGTCTTCAGATGACGGTTTACGGAGTTACTTTAGTTTTTAAAACTGAAAACCAATTTTTATTGACAACCAAAAAAAACATATACATTATACCTTAAACCTTGTACAAAAAATTGTCTATTCTAAACAACAAAAATGTACATTTTTCATAATTTTTTGTAAAAATCCTCTACTCCATATGAAGGCAAACAAAATCTGCCCATTCTTTCCTCACTTCTTCAATGGCTTCTTGGGGGTATGGTGCTTGATCTTTGCCCTTTTCAAACTACAATCTATAAAACATCATTATTTAGCATTCATGACTGGTTTTGAAGGATCTGTGGCAGAGTAAATAGATTTACCGTCATGGTATATCGATTCAAACGATGGTAATTCTATTTTCAGTCGTCCACAGAAATTAAAATCCTAAAGTTTTCCATTTACCTTCTTCTCAAACTCCAAAGAAGGATCTGTGATGAAGTCTCTCATAAAACGCATGACATAATAGCCACACTCTACACTGCTGGGTTGCTTTAGTGTGCCTTGTAGAGTTTTCCAAATAGGTGCTTTACGGCCTTGTCTGCCTATGTGTGAATTATACATCTTGATAGCATTGTTTCATGACAACAAAGTGTTATTTCAAAATAAAAAAAACATTAGGCTACAAACACACATTGCACTTGAGTAGATCAACTTACATGTTCACTATGTTTTTGCACTCGTCATCAACCACTCGATTTTCGGGCAGTGGATCCATAAAATACACAATCTCCCTCTTTGGTCTCACAATGAGCAAGACCCAATGACGGCTACACAAAATAAACATAGAGGTTAAATAGTTTTATATACACTGCATCATACAAAGAAAATCATGTTGACTATCGTACCCTGGATCGTAAGGCATAAAGAAAATATGTTCCCCATCTGTCTTTTGAAGTCGATTGGCTAACAAACGTGATCTTTGAGTTAATGATCCAGAGTTAGCACTAACTTGAGCAGGGTCAACAAAGCCAACCATGTTCACCATATTTGTTGTTTTCAATACATCAAATAGGCACCTACATATATAAAATGATGTCATGAGTTTTCTAATTTTTTCAAAGAAAGGAGAGTGTGAAATGACAATGAGTTGATAAGGACAAACCTCATGTATACAGCAACCACAGTAGCCCCAATTTCATCCATGGCTGCAAACTGTGTAATATCTTCAATCAAGACGAAGGTTTGACGCTCAAAACCAAACACCTCCTTCTCAATTGTAAATATCATAGCTTTCTCATGAACCTTTAATGTCGTCTCCATAAAACGACAAAGGGCTTGTAAAGAAGATGGCAAGACTAGGTTTGAGTAATGTGGTGCTTGTTGTTCCTTCTCAGAAACGTCCAAGCACTTGTCTTTCTGCTTGAAGAAATAAGGAAAGATATATAATAGAGAAGTGAAAAAACCAGAGTAAACTACACAAACTTAAATGACGTGGTAATCGAGATAAAACGACAGGGAAGATAAGAAAACGACGTGAAAATTAAATAACCACGACGGCAAGTGAAAACCGTCGTCGTTTGTATCAATTACGTCGGTAGAAAACAGAGCCCTAGAAAATGAACAATAGCCAATATCAATTTAAAAGCATGCTTTAGCAGAAATACAAATAACATGAAATGCAGATAAATAGAGAGAGAGAAAGAGAGAGTGGAACAAAGTGAGTGAAGAAAGATTGAAAAAAAAATGAAACTATTTGAATCCAAAATACCGTCGTGGTACTAGAATGCCAACGACGGTTTATTTAAAAAATAGACGTAATATGAAGTTAAAACAACGGTTATGAAAAAACGTCGTCTAATGACTTTATTACGTCTGTATAAAACAGAGCCCTCCAAAATTAACAAATGCAATTACAAACTTAAAAGCATGCGTTAGCAGAAATGCATATAACATCAATTGCAGATAAAGAGAGAGAGAAAGAGAGTATTTCAAATTTCAAAGAATTTACCATGTCAACTTGCTGTTCTGCATCCTTGGATTTCTGTTTTAAGAAATAAAGAAATATAGATAATACAGCTTGTACAAAATGAAATATTGCACAAACGTACCGTTGTGGTAAGGAATACACACGATGGTTAATACAAGAAAACACCATCTAATTTAAATTGAGATGACGGTAAATAAAAGACGTCATTATGGGTTGTTTCTAATGTCTGTAATTAAGATAACAACGTCTAATTGATTGTATGCAAAGTTCATAGAAGTTACCATTTCTTCTTGCTTTTCTCCGTCTTTGGAATTATCATCCTCAAAATTGAGGGCTCTGACATCCAGTGCCCCAGAGCAGCTTGCTTTATACGACATTGGATTTTTGGGACTTTGCTCAGAACCTTGGAAAGTTGTCAATTTCAACACACTTGGATCAAAATTTGGAATTAGTTGGCACAGCTGATTCGGCAAATTCTCCCTCTCAGCTTCTACGAATTGCTTGGTTCTAGCCTCCATCTTCAAGGTCTCTTCTTTAAGGACATCTCTTACACTTTCCTTTAATTGATCGGCAAACTTTACCCTCTCTTGTCTAGGTAAATTGAAGTATTTCCTAGTGGAAATCCCAGCCCCAACACCTCTAACTCTCCCTGGATGCTCGGGACCCAAAGCCATAGTCAACACATCATTACTTCCAGAGACAGTAAGAGTGCCTTCACTGACTTTTTTTTGCAATTCATCCTAATTAACACAAAGACACATTAAAGTCAATAAAACAGAAAGTTAGTTCCATATGCAAGTCTAATTAAAATTCCAATGCAGTTTAATACAAATTTAAAATAGAGTGAAGTGAATTTAGGCTTACAATTAATTTTTCTTTCTCCGCAACCTTTGGATCGGGGATGTTATCGTGTTTTTCTTCTCTAGCTTTCTTCCACAAGGTAGATCGATCAATTTCTACTCCTAGCATGCTTTCTTCTAAATCATCCTCCAAACCAACATATCCTTTTCGAGACAATCAATGATTGTACTCGCATTTCTCTCTCCTCTATGCTTGTTCAGCATGGACACACTCAAATTGTTCAGATAACCTTGAAGCTACAAAGGCATCCCAGTCTGTTTTCTCTATGAATTTATATAATTCAGGGGGTTGTCTTAACTTCTCCTCCTCATTGATGAATGGAAGGATATGATGCCTTGTTAATGTAGACTTGAAATCCTTCCATTTCTTGCCAGCAGAAGATAACACCATTTTTTTACCCCCTTGCCCTACCACATAAGTCATGTCAACGGCTTCCCAAATCTGCTCTTTTATATCCTTGGGGATTTTAGTCCATTTCTTGTCCACAATTGGGAGTCAGCACACCAATGTAGGACTGCATCTCAGTATGTGCAGGGCCATATGGTTTCCCCCTTTTGTTGTACTCAATAACTAGCTTGATTTTCTGTAATTTTCTTTTCACAATAATGGGCATTGTGTTTATACCATGACTAGACTTGGGCTCCTCAGAAAATGTTGTCGTGCTGCCTGGTTCAATCTCAGCAGATGAAACAAATTTCATCTTCTTCGAGGGCTTGGTTTGAGGTTTTGAAACTTTAAGCTCCTTACATTCATTTTTGTTCAAGCTAGAATCCTTACTTGGCACTTGAGAAACCATGGTTACAGAGAAATCAGACCTGCAAGTAGAGAAAAAAATAAAATAAAAGTCACCAAAAAAATGACGTAGTATAAAATTTCATACGACGGAATATTAAAACAACCGACACAATAATACTTATATAACGACGGTAGTTAACTACCGACGTGGTTTGAATGTAAATGACGTAAATTCGTAACATTCACGACGGGGCAAGAAAACGTTGTGGTTTTAAATTACAAACGACGTAAAATATAAAATACCGTCGTCTATAGCAGTGTTACCAGACCTTTTGCTTCTTGTCTTTATATTTGGAAAAACTTAAAAACTTAAATTGATTTTCAAGAGGGAAAAAAGTAAATATATTTTTCAACAAAACGTCGTGGTTTTCAATTACAACGGCGTTAGTTATAAAATACTGTCGTCTTATTAATATGAAATTCATAAACTGTTCCAAGACCGTTTGGTTTACTACTTCAAACACACAAAAACAGAGTAGATTTTATCATCGTGGTCAATGACACTTTGTTCTTTGTCAGTAGATTTTATCCAAAAAGTAAAATGATTTTCGCATGAAGAGGAACAAAGATGAGAAATGCAAAACAAATTATATGCATATGCAAAACAGGAACAAAGATGAGAAATGCTTACCTTTTGCTTGCAATGAAAGTCTTCGCTTGGAGTTGCAAAATAGGAAAAAAAAATATTTTTCAGGGACGAAGACGAAGAGGAGAGGAAGCCGATGAGATTCAGACACGGTGCTTTAGGAAGTAAAAATGAGGATAGCGTGAAATTTTTTCTCGGGTTTGGAAACAGTATAAGTGTAGGTCAGGAAAGGCGAAAAGTTTAAAATATTAACGAAACATTTCATAACACGACGCTATTAATTACAACCGCCCTAGTAAACTCTTTTAAACGGCGGTAAATATATAATATTCGCCCTAATAAATTATATTACACGGCACTCACTTTTCCGACGTGGTTAGTTTACCTTATGCATCGTCATCGTTACAGATGTCGTCGTAGTATATTTTAAGTAATAAGTCGGTAAGTTATCATTACCGACGTCTTTACTTTCTACGTCAATTACATAATAGATTCTGTCGTTGGTTTTTCGCTCTGAGATTAAGACGACGCATTATTATTTTTTTTGCTTCGTGGTGTTTCTTAAAAACCGCCCTAATATGTCTTTACTACGTCGTGAAAATAACAGAACCGATGTGGTAATTATTTTATACGTCTAAAGGGTTGGTATGGACCGATGTAGATTCGTTTTTTTAAACGGCGTTATTTGTAATATAACCGACATGGATTTGAATTTTTTTTTATAAATATAGTTTTTTTTCACAAGTTCTTTCAGTTTTAGTTTTCAATTAGGGTTCCAACTTCGTCTTGCCCTTGGTTCTGTCTCACCTCTTAGGAGGCAATTGTTTGGATGTTGATGTGTGTGTGTGTTTGTGTAGATACACAAATGCACACACATCATCAACTTCCAAAAAATTGTCTCTCTTAATGCAAATCTGAGGGTGCCGTCGTCAAATTTTAGAGACAAATTTTTGGATGTTGATGTGTATGTGCCTTTGTGTATCTCAAAGACACAAATACACATACATCATCAACCTCTAAAATATTGTCTTTCTGTGGTCCGATTATGATGAGAAACAGAGTTCCATCTGGTAAGATTTTGTAACCCTTGGGATCTCAGAAAAATCTGACTCTGTAGGCAGTTTTCTATATAAACCGTCGTGGTTATTCTCAATTTTTGTCATTAAGTTGATCTACCGACGTAAGGATAACAAAATCCAAGAAATAAATAGTTAAAAAAATTCCTACAAAGATGACGGTTTAAATATAAGGTAAGACGTATAAAGTGAATAAATACGACGGTAATTTTAACTTCACGACGTATCTCTTGGGATTTTAGAAAAATATGATTATGTCGACGGTTTTCTATATAAACCGTCATGGTTATTCATAATTCTTGTCATTAAGTTGGTCTACCGTCGTAGGATACCAAAATCCAATAAATAAATAGTAAAAAATAATATTATTAAGACGACGGTTTAGATATAAGGGTAGACGTATAAAGTGAATAAATACGACAATAAATTTTATTATACGTCGTTAATTGAACAAACAACGTAGTTAGAATTAAAGATACCGTCATAGTACTATATAATAAATAAGTCGATAAATTTATCTTTGTCGTTGTTGTACATTTATTTAATACGGCGGTATTTTGTAATATACCGCCATGGATTTGTTTGAAATTATACGGCACCATATACGAAAACTTCTTCGTGTTAATTACGGAGTAAAAACGGCGGCTGTTTTTTTACATCGTCGTCTTTACTTTCTACGTCGGTCTATTCATACCTTCTGCCTTTGTTTTTGGGCTCAGAGTTTACTTTGAGAAAAACCTTTTTCAATAAGACGTCGCTTTTTTAATTAGGTGTGTCGTTTTTAAAAACAACCATTGAAATCTCCATTTTTTAGGTGTTTAAGTTATTCTTATATGGCGGTTTTATTAAACCATCGTCTTTTCAAACACAACGACGGTTTTCCCTTATACCGTCGTTTTTTTCTGGTCGTCTTTTTCACTTTTTGTAGTAGTGTAAATAAATATAAATGTGTGGTAAAATAAATTCATAAATTAAATTGCTTATAAATAAATTGCTGGTATGGACAATAATCTCGTACCATACTTAAAATAAATGTAAATGTGCGGTAAAATAAATTCATAAATTAAATTGCTTCATGTATGGACGTTAATCCGGCACCATATTTTAAATAATAAAGTAAATGTGCGATAAAGTAAACGTTCTGATATAGGCACTAATTCTACTTCCATACTTTTAAATAAAAAGTAAAGGCAGTTGTGTGGACAATAAACCCGCACCACACTTTTCAATAAATACAGCTGTATGGGTAATAAACCTACACCATACATAAATGATGGGATAAAACCACCACATATTATATATTGTGGGCAATATAACCGCGCCACTATTCAAGTTATAACAAGATGGGTTTTAAGATCACACCATTATTTTTATTACGATAATATGTGTTACAACATGATGGGTAATGAAATTACACCACCATAAAATAATAGGAGGGGATATAAAACCGTACCATTCCAAATTACAATATGAAAAAATAAATTAAACAAACATGGATGAAACAACGTAAAAATTGTGAAAATACAAAAAAGAAAGTTTGCATGTTGTAGTAGTAGTAACATGGGAGGAGAGAAGACAGAGAAATAACCACAAAGTGTTGAGCTGGAAAATTTAGAAGTAAAGATGAGAGACTACAATGCTGATAACATGTTATAAAAATAAATAATCAAAGTATGAAAAGTACCACTGAATATTGGGAGTAGAATTATATTTGTTCTTTTAGTGTTTATACTGATAGAATTCTCTCATATAGAACTCACTAACACTCTTATTTCACACTCTTCCTTTCTTCTCTTCCTTTCTTTCCTCTCTTCTCCGTTGGTGTGTTTTGCTAAGCAATGGGAAGCCTATTTATAGGCAAATTGGATGGCTTCCAACAGAATCATTAAGCTCCAACATCAACATTAAGCTTTTTGAATATATTTCCTTCTTTTCTGTATGTGGGCCCCACCATTTCCTTTACAACAAAATATTATTTTTACTATAAGAATATTTAGTTGTGATTCCCATTCTTTATCTTAGCTTTGATACATATGTATTTTTTAAAGGGAGCTTTAGTTTTAAAGCATAATATAGTTTACTAATTTAGTAGAAAGAAATACAATTTAGTCTAATTAGCAAAAGGGAAAAAACCAAAATGTAACAAAAATACCATTACAAAATATGAAAATTACAACATATGCCATTTTCAATATTTAGTTTTAAACAAAAACTGAAAAACGACATCAAACCAAAAATGAACCAAAACAATATCAACCGAAACCAAAATTGAATCACAACCCATTCGCGCGACGTTTCAACTTCACCTCCAGAAACCTCCAGACCACCAACCCATTCGTGCGACCATCATCGAAGACCACCAACGATCGAAGCCGATTCTTCATTCTCTCTTTCAGCAGTTCCAACCTATTCCCCCAAAATCTGAAACGGCGACGACCAGCAACGACGACGATTGAAGGGTTTAGCACTCTCTTGGGGAAAAAATCGTAAGAAAATGACCCCTAACACAAATTTCCCTTCGATTTTAGGGTTCTGAAATTTTACTTACTGTCATTCTGCAATGTAGTTTAGGTTTTGGGTTTAGTTTTGGTTTGAAAACCTCTAAAAACCGAAAAATCACAAAAGAGCATCAAAACTGTTTTCTGCACTGAAGAAAACAGAAACTGCATTGTAGTTTCTGCTAAATTATTTATACTTCTTTCCATTTCACGTCATGTTGTTATGTAGTTTCTGTTATGTTTTGTAGTTCTTGTTTTGACTATGCTGATCTTTCAATTTCATGTCAAGTTGATGTATATTTTCTAGTATATTCTGTTTTTTGTATTGCAGTGAACCACAAACTGCATTGCAGTTTCTGTGCATTTCACACCATGTTGTTATGTAGTTTCTGTTATGTTTTGTAGTTCTTGTTTTGGCTATGCTGATCTTTCAATTTCATGTCAAGTTGATGCATATTTTCTGGTATATTCTGTTTTTTGCATTTTAGTGAACCACAAACTGCATTGCAGTGAACCACAAACTGCATTGCAGTTTCTGTGCTTCTTGAATGTTGCTCATTTCACGCCATGTTGTTATGTAGTTTCTGTTATGTTTTGTAGTTCTTGTTTTGGCTATGCTGATCTTTCAATTTCATGTCAAGTTGATGCATATTTTTTGGTATATTCTGTTTTTTTGCATTTTAGTGAACTACAAACTGCATTGCAGTTTCTGTGCTTCTTGAATGTTGCTCATTTCACGCCATGTTATGTAGTTTCTGTTATGTTTTGTAGTTCTTGTTTTGGCTATGTTGATCTTTCAATTTCATGTCAAGTTAATGCATATTTTCTGGTATATTCTGTTTTTTGCATTTTAGTGAACCACAAAAACGGAAACTGCATTGCAGTTTATGTTTTATCAAATGGAGTTTCTAATTAGTTTCCTTTCAATCTGCAGTTAACACAAGAGGCATCTCAGCCCGATGCCACAAATCCAATTCCTGATCCCCCAAAAGGAACGAACCCAAGAGCTAAAGCCATAATCAAAGTACTTTGTTTAAAACACATTTAAGTAGGTCAGCAGTTGTAACATTCCAATATACTTGCAAAAATTATTCTGAAATTGAATTATCGAACAAGAAACTACACTGCAGTTTCTGGTCTCGAACAAGAAACTGCGCTGCAGTTTCTGGTCAAAATCTGCACTGCTGCTCAAAAGGTAAAGGCATAATCAAAGTACTAAAACTAATATCAAAACACATTTAACTCCATGAGCAGTTATAACATTCCCATAGACTAGCAAAAAGTATTCTGAAATTGAATTATGGGACAAGTTCTGTTCAAAATCACTGCAGTTTCTGCAACAAAATCTGCTCAAATCTGAAAACAAGCATTCAATGGCAGTCAAAAACGAATATCCACTCATGAAACAATTGTATAATTTTCATTGACTTCAAAAAAGAATCATAATATCCAATTAGAAGCTGTGTAGCCAATTAAAAGCAACTAAAACTGCAATGCAGGTTTTGCAAAAAGTGCAATGCAGAAACTGACTATACATTCACTAAACCATATCTAACGTAAGCAATCGTCAACTGAGAAGGAATGTTCATATCACAGCCTTGCAAGTCTTCCTATTATGCCCAGTAACACTACACCGACTGCATTTCAATGGCCTTTTAAATTCACCAAAAGCTTTGATCCTCTTTGTTGGTGGTCTTCCGGCTGGCCTCTTTGTAATTGGCGGAAGCACAACTCCAGCTGCAAAACTGTTGCTGCCCAAGCCTTTCCCAATATCTGGAATAGGAAAAATAGGACTCTCATAGGCTTTTCGAAAGAAGTCAGTCCTATAGTAACACTCCACGTAATCATAAATTGAATCTTTCTTTGCTAGAATTGCAGCTACCGCATGCGTGCAAGGAAAACCGTCAATTTGCCAAAGACGGCAAGAACAAGTCCTTTGCTCAAGATCAACCATCACGAACTACCCAAGTCCTACTGGCCTCCGCATTTTCCCACAGTCTAGTTTCCATCTCTGGACACAAAATTATTGTCCACTTCTCCGCTTCAATTCGTCGTTGAGAATTCAATACCATCAATTTCTGTCGAATCCCTTCTATCAAAGGTAGCACCGGCAAATCTCAAAACACACCAACCCAATTATTAAATGACTCCGCTAAACTATTTGCCATCTCCCCATACCGCATTCCTTTGAAATATGCGTTCGCATAGTGATCTCTAGACAAATCAGATATAAATGTCTTCACTTTCGAACTCCCAACAATCACCAACTCCTCCATTGCTACCGTAAACTCTTCCTCTGTAACAGCATATGTGCACCTACTAAATAAATTGATAACACGGTCTTGGAGCAATTTCCCATAACCTAACTTCGGGTACTTCGATATCAAATTCTGTTTGAGGTGATAGTAACAGTAAGAATGAGGCCATCCAGGAAACACAAACCCCATTGCATTTAACAAACCTTGATTGCGATCCGAGAAAAAGGTCACCACTCTCCCCATCGGTAGCAAAATAGAAACCAAGTCCAATTCTCCTCCGTCTCAGAATCAACAACTCCAAAAGCTAGAGGATAAAACCCTGCAAAACAAAACCAAAAGCACAAGTATAAGCAAAAAAGGGAAATTGCAGTGCAGTTTTTGAAAACAAATCTGCTCAAATTTGAAAGGAAACCAAAAGGCAAATCCATGATCCAAGTACTAAAACTAAGTTTAAAACACATTTAAGTTCATGAGCAGTTGCAACATTCCCACAGACATACAAAAATTATTAAGAAAATCGAATTATGAAACAAGAAACTGCAATGCAGTTTCTGCTAAAAAATTGCAACAAATGGAATCTGCAATACATTACAGTAACCATACCTTGATTTCCATTCTTTCCGGAAGCACAGAGAAGCTGCCCCTTGTACTTGCTCTTCAAAAACGTAGCATCAACGAACAACAAGGGTATGCAATATTGAAATCCAGCAATGCAACCGCCAAACGACACAAAAAAACCGTCTAAAGCGATTAATTCCAGCTTCACATTCAAGAGTGCAGAGAGAACCAGGGTTAGTTTCCTTTACGGCGTCCGCATACCACACTAACTCGTTGAAGGACTTCGACTCATCACCGTGAACGTTCAATTTAGCTAACTCTTTGCCAAACCATGCATGGTAGTATGAAATGTCTATACCATAATAATCTTTGAACTCGTGTATAATCTCAACTGGCTTCAGCTCTGGTTTTGCACGAATTCTGTCCACAATGAGGGAGGACACCACACGAGACTTCATCATCTTACTCTTTGATTCCCGTATCCGACCCACACATGTATGCACATTATTTAATGTCCGAATTACAAAACAGCCAGTAGCTTCACAATGAGAAGCATAAACACGCCAGCTACAACCCTCCAATTTCTTATTCGAACAAATAGCAACCACCCGCTTCTTGTCATTGCCGGCATATAAAAAATTAAATCCTACTTCAAGAGCGTACTTGCACAATTTCAAACGGAACTCCTCTGCACCACCGTCAAACTTCTGCCCTACATGATGTATGTACGTCTCCCACTCATTCGACAACAAAGGCTTAGCACTTGCTCTCTTCGACCTGCCCAAAAATTCATTTCTGTCTTCGACAGTACTAGAACACGACGACTCGCCCTTTTCACATGCTATCAACTCCTTATTTACACAAAAATCACCACTATATTCACTGCTCCCGCATAAATCCTTCACTAAAATATCAACACTCTTCTCATTTGATACAAACAAAAATGTCCTCATCATGTCCAAATCGCTATCCGTTTCTAGAAAACAACTCGGATAACTGGGCAGCGAATACCGTAACGTAAAACAACCCAACTGCAAACCCTTAAACCTTAGACACAAAGTCTTCAAAATATCAACCATGGATGACTCTGATGAAACTGAAAACATAATGGTTTCCGACTTATATGTGCACTTGGCAATGACACACACCTCCATTAGCCTTGAAAATGCAAACAAAACAACAAACAAAAACAAAAAACAATTTAAATCAGTAAATAATGTACATGAGCAGTTGTAAAATTCCAATAGACTTCCAAATATTAGTCTGAAATCGAATTATGAAACAAGAAACTGCAATGCAGTTTCTACCAAAACTACAACAAACAGATGTAGTTTATGACAGAAAATCAAAACAATTCGAATAGAAACCAAAAGGAAACCACGATAAAAGTACTAAAACTAAATTCCATAAACATACAAGTCGATATAAACGAAAACAGGTTCTAAAGTACTCATACCTCAAAACTTAGGACTGCCAAAAATCTCCACAACCAAACAGCAGCTTAAAATCAAATCTGATCACGAAACGAAGAATATAGGGTTTAGAATTGAACGCCACAAGATCGCGCCGCAAAATCGAGCCACAAAACTGAGCTCGAAATACCCGAACTAAGGAGAACAGAAATCACCCAAAACTGACAGTCATTCAGCATGCAAATCGAACGAAAACGTAGCAGAAAAAAGAAGACAGAAAAACGAAGAAAATAAAAGCAAAACCTACCAGAAAATTGATCTCCAATGGCAGAACCCAGCTCTGAAACGAAGAAGAAAACGAACGAAGAAGAAAAGAAACTCGCGCGTCGTTTAAACATTCAGAGGCAAAAGCGTCATTTAATTTGTAGGTTTACAGATGGGCCAGGCTTTTTAAGAGAAAAGGGTAGAATTGTCTTTTTATTTGTTATTTTTAAGCTGGCCCAACGAATCTGGGCCAGCCTTTGGCCTAATCTAAAATAGCTATTTTTTATTAAGTATTAAAACCCAAACTAAAATACCTAATATCTCACTTACTAATTAGTAAACTTAATAATGTCTAATACCTAATTTTCCTCCAGAAGTAATGGAGTTGATCTAGTACTCAACCACAAATTTTTTTTTTTTTTTTTCTTTCATTCATATATCACTATCATAGCAATTTAATATACTGTTCACCCATTTTTATATTTAATCTTGTGACGGTAGGGTAAAGTTCCCCATTGGCTTGAAAACCATTTGTGGTCAATAAGTCAACTTTCTTTTGTGTATGAGTGTGCCACTGCTAGCAATAAAAACCCTAGTAGACTTCTTAAAAATAGATAACTTGCGCCCCATGGTTATTGATTTCTAAATAAGCGATTGTGAATTTGGGTGAGGAATATCTCCCAAGTAAGTTCTTTTCATTGCCTCAGACTGGTGAGGACTTCACAATTTTTCACAGTACAAAACTGGTAGTTCGGGCCAGAATAAATGATAAGAAAGTGAACTGTTGTCAGGAAAATTTGAGAATATGGATTCCATGGACATAGCCAATGCAGATCTACTAACCAGAGCTCACACCTGTCTCAATAATCCCATTTATTCAATCCATTTCACCCCCTACAAGCTATACTTTGATGGATCTAAAACAGACTCAGCCTCTGGGGCAGGGATTATTTTAGAAGATCCACTAGGAATCAAACATTGTTATTCATTCTAGCTAGACTTCTAGTGCACCAATAACAAAGCAGAATACGAAGCTTTAATCATAGGACTAGAAATGCTGGTGGAACTAGGAATCCAATTTGTTGAAATTATGGGAGATTCCATGCTTGTACTAAAACAGATTGCTGGAGAATACAAATGTTTGAGCCCTTCTGGACCTCTCAATACACATATTCCCAGAAAAATCTTCTAGTATATGAATATTGGAAGTTCTAGCCAGAATCCAGGCTGTGCCATGGAAAGATATCAAGTAGCTCTCCGAGAAGGACTTGAGTAAGAAGAAAGTGATGCTAGGCAATCAGCCCATGGCATTACTAGGAGTAGACGTTCTAGGTCTGGTTCCAGAAGGTTAAACCAGATACAGGAGGCTGTGTTCCGGCCAAAGGCCACAACACAAAGGAGCTAGGATACTCTAAACAACATGATAGTCATGATGCAATGGCAAGTCAATAGGCAGTTCAGGAAGCACCATGAGGCTGCTATTGCCAAGATTCCAAACCCATATGTGGTGGTCCAGTAGCTAGACCTCCCTTTTGGACCCCCACTAGGACTGGCATGGCCATACATATTTCTTTCACCTTGATGAGCTCCACAGATTCCTTCATGGACTTCTCCCATGACCTTCATGTACTCTTTTTTCCCTAAGCACCTCAAAAGTAACTCATCTTTGTTCTTTCAGACCAAATCTCCATTCCACACGAGGTAGTTTAAGGCTATGATTATAATCCTTTTTTAAGAGGGAAGGGTTGGATACTGCAGATAATTGATTATAGGCAATCTCCAATCTTCTTCAGTCATTATGGCAGCATTGGCATCTATTTCCATTCTTCTAGTTAGGACAGATGGTAGGCTTATCTTTCCTACCTTGATGATTCTTTGCACGCAATCTTTAGGCATCTGTACTCCTGTTGCTATCTGGGCCATCTCATTAGCTGCAAAGTTTTCCTCTCTTGGAATATGTTCCAAGCCATGTCTAGCAAAGTTGGAGACATTGGACCCAAACGGAAGTCGAAGGTGTTGCTGGCAGAATTCCAAAAGCAAAGGGCAGCAGTCAGCAAGTTCTCATCCCTATTCATGGATTGTTTGGACAGAAGAATGACGTCATATATTCCAGCCCTCTTCCAATGAGCTCTATACCTCGGAAGGAGCTTGTCAATCTAGTCTGCCCACTTTACTGTGCTGTTCCTGACTTCACTTGAAGGAAACGAGCAGCTCAGGTTCTTGCTAACCCAAGTATGAGAAGCCAGGTCAGAAGAGCTTTGGAGGCACAAAGGGACTTCAACATCATCCTTGAACAAATTAGCCATTTCAGCAGGAACAGGACCAAACCAACAAGGGGCTAGAACTAGGGTGTTTCCAAACAGATGGAGGAGTTTACTTCGAACCTCAATAGCATGATTGTCCACTCCTGCCTCAGTGATGTAAGCATGAGGGACATAAGAAGAGGAACTCTGGGCACGAGTTTTTTGAGAAGACATTTTTAGGATTTAGCTAGAACAGAGGAAACAAATTGAAAGGAATCGAGAACTGATCGCAGGAAAGGGTAAAGGGTTTTGAGAAATCTGAGAAAAATCAAGGTCTGAAGAAATTAGGTTTCGAATGAATAGAAGCTGAGGTTTTTTAAATTTATTAAAAAGGGCTCGAGAGCGTGGGAAGAAGAAGACAAGACGCCACCTGATAATAACTAGCTAGTAACTAGCTAATAACTACCCATTTTCCCACAAAGTCTAGTTCGTATAGGCAAACGTGGCAGACATGGGCTAATTGCAACGGAAGGAAATGGCACGCACAATTAATGGTCATTGGAAGAAGGAAAAAGAGGCAGAATTGGATCCTTCTTTGTTCTACCCATCTTGATCAACAACCTGTGAGGTAGAAGATTAATGGTTGCACCTCCATTTACCATTACTTTGGAAATAGGAACACCCCCAAAGTTCGCTGTTATGAACAAAAGTCTGAGATGATTGGCCATTTCCTTGGTAGGTTTGGAAAAGCACAGCTATTTTGTGGCTAATTTCATAGTAGTTCTGCCTGTTCTGGCTATAGGTATTTTTTGTTCTGGAGCCTCCTCTACTTCTGCCAATTTGCATGGACATATGGTAGGCTTTTCTTTCCTACCTTGATGATTCTTTGCACTCAATCTTCAAGCATCTGTACTCCTGTTGCTATCTGGGTCATCTCATTAGCTGCAAAGTTTTCTTCTCTTGGAATATGCTCCCAAGTGGCTTCCCTGAATTCTACCAAGAGATTTCTGGCTGCTACTAGATAGACAACTAGAGAAGAGCTCAAACATTTGTATTCTCCAACAATCTATTTTAGTACAAGCATGGAATCTCCCAGAATTTTGACGGATTGGATTCCTAGTTCCACCAGCATTTCTAGTCCTATGATTAAAGAAGCATCTATCCAGGTATAAATTAGAAAAAGGCACAGAAAGCTTGGAAGAAAGGGAAGTTGCAGTGGCAGAAATGGTAAAGTTAGAGATTCTGAATTATAGCTGACTTGTTTCTTGTGGCTTAATGAGCTTTGGTTGCTTCAGTGTTTTGAAGGCTTTCGAGATCAAGTAATCATTTTGAGTTTTTATTTTTGATTGGTTTTTTGGCTGTCCTTTTGATCTATTTACCTCCTCTCATATTTATAGAAAATGCTAGAGTGGGTTTTCTAATCTTTTAATAATAGGCGGCAGATTTTCAAAAAGAAATATCGTTTTATTTTTAAATGCTAAGAAAAGGGGAATTTTATCTATTCTAGCAAAAAGGCCATTAATAGTCAGTTCTTATGGTGATCACTTCCTTGCTTTTCTTGAAAGAAAACCTAATCCTTTTTAATTTTCAATTGCTCTTTGTAAGAATCAATCTACCGTGATGGTTAGTTCGATTTTCCTGGTGGACAACTCCCTGCTCCCTACTTATCTCTTTAGAAAATGTAGTCTGCTTATCCCTTGGAAATGATACCTGCTTTGATGCCAAATTTTTCTGCATATAGGAAGGGATTTTGATCTTTTGGCTGCAAAGATTCAGAGACGCCTTCCTTTTTATACCTGCCTTTATTAACTCCCCATCAACTTCTCTGAGATAGTTGAAATTTCTGACTTTTTCAAAGACAAGTAGTCACGTGGGGGTTTTAGAAAAAGATCTGCTGATTTTGTCTCTTTTTTGGGGTGGAGATCAAATGGTATAAAAAGACTGTACTAGTTTCTTCTATTCTCAATAGATAAAAAGCCCAAATGTTTTTTTGTTCACGGGGCTTTCTGATAAAGATGGGTTGTGTGTATCGAGTTTTGGCCCAAAACTCAAGGTAAATTTTGGTGGCTGCCAAAAATTGACCTGGGCTTTTGATTTTGGACTGGGGGTGCCAATTTAGGCACAAACATCTACATGGTACTGTTAATTATGTCCATTCGTGGATTGGAAATACCATTATTAATTTCTATAGTTATTCTTCCAGTATCTGGGGGTGCCTGTTGCTGGATTAATATCTACAAATGAAGAGTCTCAAACTGTTACTTAAATAAATAAAAACCCAAATTACTTGTTGTTTTTGCCTTGATTGTCTTGTAATTCTCTGAGTGGATGTCTTTACTTGATGTGTTGTCTTCTTTTGCCTTTGTGATCGTACCTGACCAACAAACACCACTGGGAAATCCATATCAGAATGCCAAACCCAACAAACATCACTGGGAAATCCATATCAGAATGCCAAACATGCAGAATTTTTAAAATCACATGCTTTAAATATACCTGGCTGCTACTCCCTACTTCATTTACCCTTGGACATTTCCTCTTATTATGGCCTGGTTGCTTACATATGGAACACTTGATTTCCAAATTATACCTTGTTAAGTGTTTAGCTTTAGGATTAAAGCTTGGAGATGGTTCACCGGCTAAGCTTATCCTGGTTTTCTTTGGCCTCCCTGGCTGCTTATGAAACTTAGGTGGCAGCAAAGGTGACAAATTTGTTTTAGCCCACAAGTCTTGACTTGCCATTGGATGAACCATGGGTTTGTAAGCTTTCATGAAGGCCTCTTTTTGGTAATAATCATGGATATAACTTATGTGATTGCCATTTAATTGCCTAATGGCAGCACAAGCATGCTTACATGGGATCCCAGTTAGATCTCATTGCCTACATGAACAACTTCTGTTTCTCAAATCAACTACCACCTGAGTGCCTTCAAAACACTTAACCTCATATTTGCTCCCCCCTGCAAGCCTTGGAATGCACTAGGCTGACTGCTTCTTAAGCTTCTCAAGAGTTGTAAAAACTCTTGGACCCACATCATGAGCCCATTTCTCCATAGCTTCTCTTCTAATTGCCATCAACAACATGATGTAATACCTGATCCTCTCAAGCAATGTTATGATAGGCTTGTCTCTAGCATCAAGGATAGACTTGTTGAATGCCTCACACATGTTATTCAAGAGAATGTCACATTTTGAGTGTGTTCTGAAGTGAGATCTACACCACTGCATTGGATCAAGCCTTGACAACCAATCAAAAGCTGGTCCTGACAAATCTTGGAGAGCTTTTTCATCTCTGCTTGAAACCAAGGTATAGTTGTACTGAAGTGAGATCTACACCACTGCATTGGATCAAGCCTTGACAACTAATCAAAAGCTGGTCCTGACCAGTCTCGGAGCTTTTTCATCTCTACTTGAAACCAAGATATAGTTGTACTTCTTGTAGCAGCCTCCATATGTTGTTTCAAAACTAATCCTCTATGGCCAGCAAGTATAAAATTGGCATGCAAATGTTTAAGGCAATGCCTATGTTTAGAGTTTGGAAACATGTCACCCACTGCATCAATTAAGCCCTTTTGTCTATTTGTAATGAACACATAGCCATTGCTGCTTTCAATGCCAAGATCAACAGCTAAGAGTTCGAAAAACCAAGTCCAAGTTGCATAAGCTATTGGATACATGTCGTTGTTAGGATCAACACCAACAACAGATAGTAATTGGCCAAGGTGTTGCCCTTTAATGTGATAAGCATCCAAACCAACAACTGGCCTCAGAGCATCAATAAATCCTTTCTTTGTAGCTGCCAAGCATATATAAATCCTTTCAAATCTAGATTTGTCACCCTCCAAATTGGACTTAATCTTTACAGTAGTTCCCACATTTGTCTTTTTTAGCTCCTCAACATAATCCCAAAGAGTCTCAAACTATTTTGTGTAAGTCCCCTCACTTACAGCAGTTGCCTTTTGCCTTGCTCTGTAGACTTGTGATCTTGAAGCTATGACACATAGTTCATTCACCCTTTCCTTAAAATCTCCTACTTCCCAATTTATTATTCTAGACAGCTATGTAGCATATCTCTCTGCTAACCATGATGAGTTAGCATGGACATTGCGTTCAACAGTCCCATAGGTGTGCTCCTCTTCATAACTCTTAATTTGAACCACGCTACTTCTATTTACAGCTGAAGCATAAACAAACCATGGACATTTTCCATTCTTGATCCGATCACAAACTGCTCTAACTTTATCTTTATCATTGTTGAAGAAATTAATCTTCCTTCTGCTGAATACTGAGTAGTTTCTCACTGCTTTCCTAAAAACATAGACACTGGAAAATCTTAGACCAAGCTTAAAGATTGGGTTATTCAAATCTGTTTCAGGCATAAAATCTTCAAACTTGGGCAGTTTCCATTTCCTTTTTCTCATAGCCAATTCAACCTTATCACATGAGCTACTATCCAAGCTATTAACATCACTTACAGCCATATCATCTTATTTCTCTCCTTCATCTGCAGCTGGATCAATATTTGGAGCATTGTGGTCAACATAGTTGTCAAATGCTCTATCATCCTTCCCCAACAAGCATTGTTCATCTTCACTTTGGTCATAAGCACTATCATAAAATTCAGGGTCTTCACTGTCTTCACTATCATTTTCAGCCCTTTTGTCATTCTTTCCCTCTTCATATATAGTCTCATCCTCCACATTTATACCATCCGGAACAGTACCTTCATCATCTTCCTCATCCACATTTATACCCTCAGGAACAGTTCCTTCATGCCTATCCTCAGCTACATTTGTACCCTCAGGAATAGTTCCTTCATCACTAGCTTTCTCCACATGTATAGGCTTAGGAACAATACCTTCATCACCTTCGTCCTCCTCATCAACAACAATGCCATCCTCCTCATCCTTTTGCAATAGGACCCCTCTCACTCCAAGCCACTGCAGATTCATCCACACTAATAACAGCGGGTTGTTCCAAGTAAATGACAATCACTCTTTGAAAGCTAGGAGGGACAAAATTACACCAAGCAAGTAGCTGATCATCACTATCTATAGCAACACAACCACCAAACTACCAGTAAACACTGAAACGACCATTAAACAACTAGCAAACAAGAACTAGTAAACAAGAAAACAACTAGTAAAGCACTAAAACGACCTTTAAACAACTAGTAAACAAGAAAACATAACAGTAACACATAGGGGACCACAACAATTTTTCATTCGAGGCTAATCAAACTCAACACCTTTGGACCCAACCCAACAAAGCAAGCAGACAATAAAGAAGTTTAAACCTGGACCACACTTTATCAATCTATCGCTTTCGTCAATTTCATTTCAAAAGCAAAAGTAAAGGGCCACTTACTGTACTCAGGTTGAGAACCTCATTTCTCTCTCGGCACCGTCATTATCCAATATTTGCGCAATGCCCAGATTTTGATTCTTCTAATTTCACTCTTTTGCAATTTTTGGTTCTTCTCAAATGTTCGAATCTCTCTCTTCGATACAGTCCCAACCCTAATCTCCTCAAATTATATCGGCTAAGAAGGGGTTCTTTGGCTAGACTTTACGAACTCAGCCGCTTAGATTAGGATTTTCAACGCTTGTGGGGTCCAATATGCCACATAGGCCGCTAACTAAGGTCAGCAATTGGCCCACGTGGGTGCTTTTACCATAATGCCCCTGCCACGCTAGCTCTTTTTACGGTCTTTTAGGATAGCGTGGTAGTGGGGGGGGGGGGGGGGGGGGGGGTGGAACACAAAAGCAAGGTCAATGGGGTAAAGTGAGCCATTTTAACTTTGGGGGGTTAAGTGAGATTTGATCAAAGTTTTAAGGGGTGCTACAGTAAATAAGCCTAATATTTTTGGGGTCGAGAAACGATACTGAAGATTAATTGAAAAGAAACTACACAAAGCCTCACATAGATAAATTACAAACCATACGGAATACATCCTAAGAAAGACAACGGAGACACCCATACACAACAAAGAAATGCAAAATTACAAAAGCTAATAAATTCAAATAGTATCACATTCAATTGACATTATAGCCACCTAGTACCCATGAACTACATGCTAGCTAGATCCAACTAATTACACTAATCAATTTTTACAACAAATTGCAAATTCAAGAAACAAAAACTAAGAACCTATGCAACAATTTTTACAACAAAATTACACTAAAATTGGCTACGTACCTCAATCTTCAACCTGTTTGTCATACAGGCTTTTGGAGAAGAATAGACAAGTGAAACTCTCACCAACAACAGTGGATGATGGGGATGGATAAATTTGGTGGAGGAAGGGAGGCAATGAGAGAAGTAGAGTAGAGAATAGGGTAATTGAGGGGATTCCTATCATGGCCACGTTCTAGCAATACTCCTATCAGAGTGCAGCAACCATGGAGGAAGGGAATGCTAGAGACGCTAGGAAGAGTTGAGAACAGAAGTGAGGCCACTTACCAGGGACACTAGGGTTTTTTTATTTTTTTTTATTTTTTAAGGATTATTGAAAAGAGAATAAATAAATAAAAATAGAATACACAAGGCAACATTCATTAATTGATATGGCATGACACATCAGCTGCCACATAAGGTGGTTAGCTAAGGTGATCAATGTTGTGTGTCTAAATAGCATTACTATTACATTATTTCACTAAGGTTATTGAGTGCATCACTATAAAATATGTACATCTCCAATTATCAATGACTCCGTTTCGCTTTCGCTATCACCATAAAATCCAGTCTTCTTAATCTTATATTCTTCAATCCTTCCATGTTCACAGCATTAACCTACTCACTATTCATAGGAAGCAAGTCAGAACAGAGCATCTTGATGTCTCCATCTCCAATGGCATAGAAGGGATCAGTTCCATTTGAGCAGTTCAAGTAGCCCAGCTTGTATGCATTCATGGTAACTTCGAACTTGGACTTTTCAGCAGACTTGTTATAAGCGCCAAATCTAGCCAGAAGCTTGTCATAACTAAAGGAGATGTCAGCATTCTTGCACTTAAGACGGAGGTAGGCATCTCTTCGACTAACCAAGTCAGTAGCAGAAGAGGGGGCAACAACAGACGAGTTTCAGATAATTTCAATAGCAAGAACTACTCTTTTTTGAAGTAGATGAAACGTTGTTTCCCTTTATTTTTCCAAGGAAAGACTTGAGACTGTCTCAAGATCTCCAGCCTGATGGATATGATCAACCAGCTTGAAGTAAGCAGACAAACTTGATAGAAAGTTCGTCTTGGGCAGATCAGACACACCCGCATCCCCTGCAGGGCTGGACTTCTCCACCTTGGGATCAACCGCTAACGTTGCAGGAGAGCCCTTCGCCCAGGGAGATGGCTCTCTCGTCTTCTTAGCTACCGCCATCCTCACCTTTAATGAAGTCAATGATGCTGAATCAACTCCACGCTTGACTACTTGTGACTCAACAATTGGATCATGAGCAGACTTCCCGCTTCGATCATCACCCTTTCATTGATGCAGACGACTCAAACTTTGAAGAGGAATATTTGCATCTCTTTAACGCTCGGCAGAACGAGATAGGGCACGAGCTATTCCAGGAAGCGAATCATGGTTTTCAAGCTTGTCAGCATGAGGCTCGGGTAGAGCACCCCAAACACCGCGCATACCACCAACCTTCCTACTATCTGCACCAACGAGATGTTTAACCCTGGCATATGACGATGAAATAGCTCTCACTTGAGTCTTCTCAGCATAAGGGATCCTTGGCTTCTTCCTTAACGGGGACGCATCTTTCGCCAGCTAATTCGCAGCTTCATTTCTTGAAGATTTGACATCAGCCTTCCTTTTCGAAGGGGAGTCTGGCAGAACACTCCTCTTGCCCAGCCAGCAGATCATCCAAGTTTGGACCATTATGCTTCCATCTCTCAACATCCTGGGCAGGGGGCAGGACACCAACTTCCTCCAGATACCCACTTAGCTAACGAGGCCTGCAATGCACGAGGCCCAGCATGCTCTAGCCCAGACCTGCAATGATAGGCAACAGCTGGTCCATCTGCGTGCACCTGCCCCACCACAGCTGCCGCCCACTGCCAATCGTCGCATGTCATGACGACAACTAGCTAGACTTCCCCAGCTGGCCTTCGCCGCAAAAAAGAAGAAAAGACGAAGAAAAAAAAATATATACGTGCTCGACTTACCTTGGGATGCACGACGACTCCTCTCTTCGACAAGCAATACAAATTCTTCAAGATCTCTCTGAAGCTAGAAAGTAGAGAAGTTAAGTTTGTGATGTGAAGAAGAGTGAAGAGAAGCCCTGCATTTACATAGGTTGGGCATCCTAGGTCAAGAAGGAATCGCAAGCCCATTCCTATTGGGAACCTAACTCCAAGAACAATCAAAAGCTCACTCCAATTGGGAATATGCAAAAGGAGTCTAACTCACTGAAGGAAGCCCAGTTACAGCTGGACAGCTCAACAGATAATTCACATCTCCTACATGTCACCACACGCCATGCAGAAGCTGGGGGGGGCATTTGTGGGAACAGAATTAAATCAGAACCCTAGGTCAAATAATTCCTTCCATTTGGGGATTATTTGACCTAATTGGGAATTATTCAACCTAATTGTGAGTTACTCAATTTAATTGGGGATTACCCAATTAAATGGAATGTTACCTAATTAGGTTGAGAATTGATTTGATTCCTACCACAATTCCCAATTAAATGAGGAGTTACCTAATCAAATTATGAATTGATTTGATACCTACCACAATTAGGGATTTGATTTACCCTAATAAATCAAATCCCTAATTAATCAAATCAATTCCAAATCGGGGAGGAATAATTCCTTTCCATCTGCGGAATTATTCCTCTGAAACCCAAGCCTCCAAGACCACTATAAAAAGATGGCCACACACAAAGGTTAAGGTACGTCTGAAATCTCTACGGAAACTCTGCAGAAAATTCCTCTCAAACCCTAGCCACCTCCTCTCTCTCTCTCTCTCTTTTACATAAGGCTCCGGCCGCCCATTTTACACCATAAATACATCTCTGTACCCTAGTTAGCTAGTGTTCTTCTTACAAACTCTTGAACTAATTTAGGCATCAGAGGGCCTTTGGCCAACACCCCCCGTGGTGTGGTCCTCTGATTTGTTCTATTTTGCAGGGAGAAAGAGGTGGCGAAGAAGGAAAGGGAATCTTTGCAGTCGAATATTCTCGTGGGAAAATTTCCTCACACATTGATTATATAATTCAAACACTAAATCGTTTAAATCTTTTATTGTCAAATTAATTGTTGATTCATCATTACCTCTAGCTCAAAACTATGATCTAATTGCAAGTAATTTATATCTCGGATCCATAATAGAAGCAAAACAAAACATAGGGTGAAAAGTTTCCCAATATTTATTAAACTTTGTCTTCATTGCAACTAAAGCATTTTCAATAGTTGGATAATTAGAGTATATAACTTAACTGCTTCATGATTATTAATTAAGCATGGAATAACATGACTAGATGTTGGATAATACACACCACAACAAATCTTTGTTGAATTATCAAAAATCTTTAAAAAAGAACAAACTATTTGAGCTATCAACCAATCTTCCTCCGTTGGAAGTGCTAAGTTAGAATATCTAGATTATTCCTTTAATTTATGAACATATCTATTTAAAACTAATTTATATTCAATTGCTACTTTTAATAGTTGGTAGGTGGAATTCCACCTATGTGGAACATCATTATCTACAATTTTCTTTTTTATGTTTAACTCATTGCAACATTTTACTCATAATTCATACATTTTATTTTATGAATTTATGCTACTGACAATATCAATTATTTTTTCAAAAGAAAGAGATAAAATACTTAATCCATCTTGGACAATCAAATTTAAATATGGGCACAATAACGCACATGAAATAATTTTCTAGACACCGAATCAATCATAAGATATTCTGGAAATTCAACAAGTTTATCATTATCTGAAGCATTATCTAATGAAATTGAAAATATTTTTCGATTAATACGCCAAGATGTTAATTCATCACTTATATGACTTGATAGTGACTCTCCACCACGTGGATACTCAATCATCCTAAAAGCATTTTTTTTTTGGTGTAAATTCCATGCATTATCAATGAAATGAGCCGTTTTTTGACATGATGACCATACATCCAGTGGTGGGGCTGTGCAAAGGCAGCAGCCCACCAAAAATTTTTTTCAAAAAAAAAAAAAAAAAAAAAAAAAAAAAAAAAAAAAAAAAAACAAACCTTTATATGTGTTATAAGCCCAGCCCAAAATTAAAAAGAATTAAAATCAAACCCTGCCCATATGTGGCCCATCCATGTGGTCCCATCTTTTCTCTCATTAACTTTGGCTATTAGACTTCTTGTTTCTCTCTCTCTCTCTCTCTCTCTCTCTGCTATCAGACAGCAGCAAGTTTCTCCCTCTCTTTTATTTTTATTTTTTTTAGTCAAATTCTTCCTCTATTGGCTACATCTTCTATTATCTTGGGTGGGCACCTTGGCAACAACATCTTCTCCTCTCCTTTTGTCACCAACAATCATTCTCTCCTTTGCTATATATATATATTTATTTATTTATTTATTTATTTATTTAATTATAGTTTTAATTTGAAATTGAGTATTCTAGGTTTAATCAAGGATGAATTATTATTTTGAGATTTTGTTGAAATTAATTAGGGCTTTGATTAGGGATGAATTATTCTAAAGCTATGATTTGAGATTTTGTTAAAATTGAGTATTCTAGGGTTTAATTATGGATGAATTATAATTTTTGGTTTGGTTTTGTTAAGCTATTATGAGAATTTGTTTGATTTTTTTGTTGGTATGTTTGATTAAAATTCTTTCTAAATATTATTCATAGGCTATCTTTTATTATGTCATATCACAATCGGAATCCCAAGAGAACAAAAAATTTGTTGTCTTTTATTAAGAAAAAGAATGATGGGTCATCATCTAGTACATTGCCTTCTAGCACTTCTTTATCCACTCCAATATGTGATGAGCAAAATCTTCCCGAGTCTCCCATTGTCGAGCCTCTAGTTGAAAGAGTTGAATTTCAAAGAGTCAATGATGATCATGATTTTAATATCAATTACATTGAGCGTAATCCGGGATTATGTCGTTTAATATGCAAATATCCGGTGATGAACAAGATAATGTGCGAAGAGCATATATTCTTTTAGGACCATGTAAACCCAAGTTAGAAGATTATCCAAGCCACTTACAAGGGTGGGACTTTCATCGATTTAATAAAAGTGGTTTGGCCAATTTACTTGGCTTGAGTATTCAGTTGCTAAGAATAAGGTATTTTGTTTTCCTTGCTTCCTTTTTGACATGAATCAGTCACACCCAACCTTTATTGTTGATGGGTATCAAAAATGGAAGATAATTGGTGGGAATCAATGTGCATTTCAACATCATGTAGGCAAGCTAAATTCACCACATTATCTTGCTATGAAAAAGTGGTTAGCTTAAAAAAAAAACCCACATGTTGCCAAATTTCACTTTCCACAACACTACATAGGCATCAGCGAAATGAAAAACCAATGATGTTAGTATATTAGGCATCGGTTTTATAAATAATAAGACTAAAAGTATATAAAAGCATCAGCACAAATTTTTGGTTTTTCCTACAGATGTCGTTGATTATACTTAGCATCTATGATATAAATATACTGATGCGTAAAATGGTTCTGCAAAATACAAATTTAAGAGCCACATTTAGCTCGGACGCCAAAAGACCGCTACAGTGATTTTTTGCTAAAAATTTTCGGTCCCTCGTGAATATTTCAGACTCCCTCTCATATTTTTGGCCAAAAATTTAACTCCCTCTCTTCTCTCTCGCGATACCCAGTTCACAAACAGTCACTTTGAGCTCTCATCCTTTTCACCTTCAAACTTTCTCTCTTCTCTCTCGCAATACCCAGTCACAAACAGTCACTCTGAGCTTTCATCCTTCTCACCTTCAAACTCCCTCTCTTCTCTCTCTCGATACCCATAGTTACCCTAAACCCTCTCTCACTATACCCACAATCACAGTCACTCTCTCATCCTTCTCACCTTCAACATCTCTCTTCATCGATTTCTTCTCTGTCCTCCATCCATCTCTATCATCATCTTCTCTTTCCTCAATCTCTATTGCCATCTCCAAAATTAGAACCAACAAAACCAAAATCAGTGAGAGCAAGCATGCACACACTCAGTTCAACCAACACACTCAGACGGAATCCATCTCTAAGCTGCTAAGAATCATTGAAAGCAGTTGATTTCATCAAACAATCAAGCCCCAAATTTGGGTAATTTGTTATAAATATAATTTTTAAGTTTGGGGTTTGATTATTCTTCATCTGAGATCTATTATTTTTCATAGATTGCATGTTGCAATTTGAAGCTTATTTTTTAGTTTATTAAGGGTTGTGGTTTCTTAACATTGTGAATCCGTAAATGGATGGCTTTTGTTGTAGCATGTTTGACTCTTTGTTATGGATTGGATGACTGGGTTCAGTAGAAAGACCAAATTTTTTTTATTCCTTTGTTTGATGTTGCTCCTTTTCTGCTCTGGCAATGTTTCTAGCGTTGAGGTGACTTTTTTTTTTTGTGTGTGGATGAATGTTAAATATAAAACCTTATTGTAGTATTTTCATATACCATTCTGTTTGGTCAATCTACTGCAGAATGTGCATGATTTCTTTCTTACAGTTTCTATTTCCTGGGCATAGTTGTTGTTTGACAATTGAAGTTGAATTCCCTATATTTTTTTATGGTATTTTTGTTTTTCTTTAGCTTCTTGTTAAAGATTGGGCATAGCTTCTTGTTGAAGATTTCATACAGTTTTTCTTAATCTTATATGCTCTTTTCGTTTAATTTCAGTATGCGAGAAGTTGGAAAAAGAAGGGATTTTACACCCAAACAGAATTGGACAAGGTTCGAGATGAATGGGCATGTCATGTGCTAGAGTGGATTTGAGTTTGAACATTCTCCTTCTTGTTTTGGTAATATTTTGCTTATATATGTATGGACGATGGATGGATTTTGGTTTACTGGCAGAACTCATAAGTTTACATATATAGGAATGTTTTTTGATGTTGCAATGGCAATATATATGAAATGGATGTTATGCCTCTATATTTTGAGACAGAAACAAAGTAAAATATAATGTGAAACATGGAAATTGCTTACACTTTATTAGTAACAACGATGTCTATTGTGTATAACAACCTCAGTTTTGCCATAACAACTAAAGTTAAAAATTAAAAACAACATCAACACTCTATGGGAACCGAAGCCAATAATATTTTTAGAAAGTCAAACAATTTGTAGGCTTTTCACTTCAGCATAAGCACAAAAAAAAACGAATGCACAAACCATAATTTGCAACGACAGTGGCATCTTTTCTGAAGTGGTAAGTCAGAACACACTTCAGTATATTCAAAACCCTTGATGCTTTAATGAGTATTTAGCATCAGTGCTAATATATTCCCTGATGTTATTAAAGGTTTAGGCATTGGAGGTCAACGCTCTTTTGGCATATGGTAACAACTTAAGCATCAGCGATTATGTGAATGGCGAAGTCGTAAATAATCTTTAGCGACAGATAATATCCAAAGTGTATGACTATATCATACCCATCGGTTCCCAATACTTCGATTCTTGGGTACCTTTAGCAACGGATATTATCCAAAGCTAAAAGTCAATTTTTGCATAGTGCCATCTCTTCATACTGAAAAAAGTGGTAGATAAGCAATCAAGGGAACAAGTGATGGACAATCGATTGCAACTTATGACTACAATGAGAGCATTAGGTATCTAGCAAATCAAGCATTGGCTTTCGAGGCCAAGATGAATCGTTTGACTCATTTAATCGGGGCAATTTCATTGAAATAGTAAAGTCTTTTGCAAGAATGAATATAGAAGAACAAATTTTGTATTCTTGTTGATGAATCACTTGATGAATCCGGTAAAGAACAAATGGCTATTGTTGATTGTGATGGATTTATTCATGAACGTTTTTTTGATATTGTGAGTGTTGCAGACACTAATGCCTTGACTATTAAAAATGAGATATGCAAAGTACTTGATAATAACGATATTCTAGTGGAGAGTATGCATTGTCAAGGGTATGACGGTGCTAGTAATATGCGTGGTTCATGTAATGGACTACAAGCATTGTTTCTTCAAGATTGTCCATATGCATATTATTGCGTTGCTTTGCTCAGTGCTTGCAATTAGCATTAAATGGCGCAGCTAAAGATGTGAAAGTTGTACGGAATTTTTTTTAAATGTTTACTAACATTGTGAATTTTGTTAGTGTTTCTACTAAGTGCCGTAGTGAGTTAAACTTAATTCGAAGAGGACTTCGTCAGGTAGAGGACTTCGTCAAGCTTGTACTTTGAAATGAGCTGGAACCACTTGTTAGGGCTCTCATTTTGCCTCTATTACAAGTTTGATGAGTTTATTTAAAGAGACTAAATTAATTACTTCTGGAGATCAGTGGTCATGGAGCTAACCAACAGTTTCGTGGCGATGCATAGAGTAACTATATTGCTATGATGTCTTTGAGTTTGTGCTTGCATTGGTTTTGATTGATAAAATTAGGACAAACTACATAAAACCCCCCCAACCTATAGGGTCATTTACGAGTTCATACCCAATTTTGGGGACATTTATGAGTACATACTCAACGTCGCAGAAAACCTACAATTTACCCCCTCCGTTAGCGAGATCCGTTAAATGCTGATGTGGCAAATGTGGAACCTAGTTTTTCATGACGTGGACTTCCAAGTGGACAAAAAATTATTTTATTGTTTAAATTATTTACTATTGTTAAATTAATTCAAATTTTAAAAAACAAAAATTTTAAAAAAAAATTAAAAATCTAGCATAACCCAGAAACATTAGCAACCAAATTGTACTACAAGTGAAAGAGGAACTTTTCGATTTCAATTTCCATTTTGGATTTCGAATTCTTTTGTTTTCCCAGCAAACCAAAACATCAAAAGCCATGGCCCATCCAAATCCATGGATCTAGAGTGGAAGCCGAGTGCTTGCTCAAAATCGCCGAGAAGCTTCTACACAGTCGAGATCTGAGCAATTGCAGTGACTTCACAATTCTGGCTCAGGAGATCGAGTAGCTATTGGATGGCTCAGATTAGATCTTGGCCGTCACCGACGTGCTCTTGACCGCCAACAAGTGTGTAAACAACCACCCTGATTGGTACACAGTTCACCAGGTCGAAGCCCATGGCGGCTGGAGATGGTTATGGGTCGGGGGGAGAGATGACGCAATCGCCAAACTGTCGCAATCTTCTTCGTTGAAGCCCATCTTCATCGCCAAACCCAGGATATGGGTGTCTTGATAAATTTTTGGGGGAGAAAGGGAGAGAGAAAGAGAAAGAGATCAAGAAGGGGTCATCAAAAGCAATATGGCAGTTTTACTGCGTTGTGCTTCTCCTTGCCTCAGCCTTTGCTCCAAGTACTTCATGGTGGATCTACAAAGGTCTTACAAGGGACTATGTGCGCATCGTCAACAACCTCATTAACCAACAACTCCAGTACCAATGTAATTCCAAAGACAATGATTTTGGCCTTCGTAGTCTTCCGCCCAAAGGGGAGTACGAATGGGGATTTCGGGTCATCTTCTAGGGCAGCACACTTTATTTCTGCAATTTCTGGTATTTGGACAACCATGGTGTTTTTGATGTGTTTAGAGATACTATTTGTTTGTGCAAATAATCTCACGGGAGAATATTCGCTTCTAGATCCTTCAACCTTCGATCTTCCTTCTCTCTCTTCCTCGATTCCTGTAAAACAGATTGGAGTAAATAGACCACACCCGGGGGGTGTTGGCCAAAGGCCCTCCGATGCCTAAGTTAGTTCGAGTGTTTGTAGGAAAACAATAGCTAAGCAAAGGGTACGGAGTAGTGTTTATGTAGGGTGTGAACCGGGCGGCCGGAGCCGTGTGTGGTGGCCGGAGCCGTGTGGAGAAAATATGGAGAGTGGAGAGGGAGAAAGAGCTTCGGGTATTTTTCTCGGGTATAAGGAGTAGGTTTAGATGTACCTTGAATGATGAATGAAGTCATCTATTTATAGGAGCCTCGGGGCTAGGGTTTCGTAGAGAATATGCTGAGTTTATTCTCTACCCAAATTCGTAGGGATCGAGTCGGACTGAGATAATATCTGATTTAATGATATTATCTCTTTTTATGGAGATAATATCTGAATTAAATGATATTATCTCTTTTTATGAAGATAATATATGAGATAATGACATTATCTTCTCTTTAATAGGATAATATCTTAATTAATGATATTATCTTATTAAATAAAGATAATATCATGTTAATTAAGATATTTATCCCAATTAATTAATTGGCCAGATAAACTGGTTCAATTAATTAATTAAAAGAGATAATCTTCTTTTCCACGTGGCGCGCTGTGATTGGAGACGAAAATATTTGCTCCCACACTATTGATTTTCTATACGAATGTGGTGGAGTTCATTGCATATGGAAAGCCAAGGAAGATGGGATTTACTTGTTTCATATCCAAACGAAAGAAGATAAAAAATTGCATGACTGGGAAAAGATCAAAGCCTGAAAATGATATGTGTGGAAGTTAGTTTTCAGTGGTTGTTACTGCTTCTGGGTCTTGCCAAAAAAAATTATTTTTTATTTAAATTTTTGCTTTTTGCTTTTTAAATTTTGAATTAATTTAACAATAAATTAATTTTTTTTCCACTTGGAAGTCCACGTCATCAAAATAAAGGGTCCCACATTTGCCACATCAGCATTTAACGGATTTTTTGACGATCTCATTAACGAAGGGGGCAAATTGTAGGTTTTCCACGATGTTGAGTATGTACTCGTAAATGTCCCCAAAATCGGATATGAACTCGTAAATGACCCTGTAGGTTGGGGGGGTTTTATGTAGTTTGTCCATAAAATTATGGGATTGACCAATTTTCTTTGTCAAGTATTTAGACTAAAACTCAAGATATTGTAAGTACTTTAAATTTTGTTGGAACACACAAAAATGTAACTTCAAGATATGAGGGAACATGGTTGGGATGATTTATTCATGAGTGTGGTATCATTTTGTGAACTACATGGTGTTAATGTTCCTGATATGGATGCTCGTTATATGATGGGCACACGTCGTTCTTGTCAACAAAAAGATGTTATTACAATTGAGCATGCATATCGCTTTGATGTATTTATTGATGTTATAGGGAGTTAAATGAGGGAGTTAAATGATAGATTTCTAGAGCAAACAGTTGAACTTCTTACCCTTAGCTCATCATTGGATCATCGTAGTTCCTTCAAGTCATTCAATATTTAGCATATATGTAAACTTGCCGAGAAATTATATCCTGCTGATTTCCTTCCACAAGAGTTGAAAGCTTTAGAAATAGAGCTCAGGTATTTTCAAAATGACATACATCGCCTTCCTTGCTTTAAGGAAACCACTACTCTTTCTCAATTATGTCAACAATTGGTGGAAACAACTTTGGCAGAAAATTACATTTTCCTTGGCAGGTTGATTCGGTTGATGTTGACTCTTCCTGTTTCTACAGCAACAACAAAACGAGATTTGTCATGTATGAGAATTATTAAGAATCGACTTTGAAACACCTTAGCTGATGAATTTCTTGCTGACTATATGATCCTTCACATTGAAAGAGAGTTTGCTAATAATATCGATAATTAAGGAATTTAAGAGTTACAAGCCTCGCGGGGTTAAATTTTAGATTTAAATAGTGTTGTTTTGTATTGCATTGCATTGCATTTACTTTTGGTTTTAGTTTTAGATTTTGTATTTGTTGAACTTTTATTTATGGATAGAGACGCATTTGAGGGTAAGGCTCATTATGTCCCCCCTGACTAGGTGTATCTTTTTATGTTTATTAATGAAATTCACTCGTACCATTGAGTTTAGTATGTAAGTTTTACCCAACCGGCTTTTTAATCTTGGAACCGCCACTGCATATATCGGAAGTTAAACAAATTTTTCCTTCATAATTTTCCAAAAACTTTTTTAGCTCACTTTTTCGTAATAAAAAAAGTTTCATCACGTCTCTTTTACAAGTTGAGGGAGAAATTCCTTTAAATTGAGGTCAAAAAGCTCTTTGAATATATTATTTCATGGTTTGCTACAAAAGTAAAAGGCAATGGACTCTAATAATAAAATCAACCATTTCTTTTTGTGCATTACTTTCATCATATACAAAATTTGATAAATTTCCATTAGAATTTGTATACCAATATAATATTTTGACTACTTACATGAGATGATAAATGCCTTTTTTAATGACTAGTACCAGATGTTGTATTAGATGACAATAATTTATTACAAACACTACATTTTGCTTTAGTTACTTGTGAAGGAAATATAGCACAACCACCACTACCCAGGAATGAGAAGCACCACCACAACACCAATAAATGAGAGCACCCCACCAAAGAATGAGAATTTAGAGAGACTGAAATTTGAGATGATAAAACTTGATAAGTGAGAAAAATTAAGTGAAGAAGATACAGTGTTTATTTGGGTATTTATAGTGTAGGGTATGCAACCGTTTGACAGGACCCGCCTCGAATTCCTCAGAATCCATGACGAATCTTGTGGTTTTTCCGACATTCACCCGATGTCGAGCCCACTCACTAACATCGTAGCCTCTTTTTGAAATCAAGGAAAGAAGGGACAAGACTTTCTACCGAAATTTCGGCAAATTCTTCCCTAAAAAACGGACATTTCCCAAAATTTTCAATATGTCAAAAACACAATTTAAGATTCCCTAACTTCAGCATGCACAAAGTATGTTACACACGACAAATAAACAGGCCTCCGGCCTCAATACCAAACATTTTCTAAAACGTTCTTGCTTTTGAACTCCTTTGTAAAACATTACATCCGTAACAAATATCGTAACAGAAATCAAAGAAGCCCCTTTCCCCGTCCAAAATTCAAATCCAAACTTGCACAGCTCAAACAGTTTATTTTGCGGCTGCACCGAGGTTAAACCCCGGGCTACCTACGTACCCCTTGTGAGGGATCAAGCCACATGTAATTCTTAGATCAACAATCACGATCCAGATAATATACGATTATTTTTAGTCATATCAACAATTATAATTCTTGAATCATCATTTCCTTTTAAATAAAATCGTAATATTTCAGCCCATGAACAACAGACCCACTTCTTTACTCACTCCGTACCTAAGACTCATAACTCAACAACCCTATCTCTTTAACAATGTACATATATGCTAAGCACAATTCTTTTAAACATGATTCATTTTTCCAATATAGTATAATAATCATTATTCATGTTCCCATTACTTTACTACACGCCGGAGAGTCCAGCCGCACAAGTAGTAAAGTAACAGTAATCAAAATATCCGGATCCTTTACCACACACCGGAATAATCCAACGCCACGTGTGGTAAAGTAACCAGTATCCAAGTAAGCACACACGCCAGAAAATTCAACATCGCGTGTGGCCCATCCAACCTAAGTGAGCCCACACGCTGGAAAATCCAATGCCACGTGTGGGTAAAACAACCAATATCCAAAGTGTCCGGGTTTTTTTACCACACGCCGGAAAATCCAACGCCACATGTAGTAAAGTAACTTGAAATCAGTAACCAAGGAAGCCTACACGCCAGAAAATCCAAGCCACGTTTGGGGAAAATACATATGATGGTGAGGTTCATAACTCTTATTAAATATTATAAAAATAATATTCCCTTCCTTAATTTAGTTTCCCCAAATATTTATTCATGGTATAGAAAATAAACTCTCAAGCATATATATTCCATAAAGACCCAAAAATAATTCTAATGACAATCAAAACTTGTTTACACATAATTTCCATAAAATACTATATTCCACAATTAAAATAATAGACTTTCATACACAACCCGTTATCAACCAATTCATATACTTTAATAATAATAATAATATTATTATTATTATTATTAAATAATGATAAATAATAACCTTAGAGATCCCATATTCTCATTAATCCAAATTAAATCAATTTTCAATCAAAACTCATTACATAAGAAATTCCATATTAGAAGAACGAAGTACATTTAGAAACAAACGTCCACTCATTTCCTAATAGTAATAGCCGAGACCCAAGGCTCACTTTCACAAACCACCAATCAAGTATCTCATGCTCATCTATTCCATAACTTAAGTTATCAAAATAATATCCAAGAATTCCGTAAGATATTATAAAACAATCTCATAATCCCAACATAACCAAAATAACTCAATAACAGTCAAGACTCGTTAATAAGGTCATTCCAGTACTTCTCGAATGGTGAAACTACCTCGAAAAACTCACGGTCAATCGAGGGGTCAACCTGCCCAAACTTGGTCAACCAGGCCCTCGGGATCCAGAACCTCCGGTTTCCGATCTGAAAGTTTCTATGAGTCCAACAAGGTTTAATATACATGTCCTGCAAGTTTGGTCCATATCAAGCAGTCGAATCGCTCAAGATCACACTATCAAACGGTCACCATTGTACTCAAACTCTAAGTTATTGAATTGGAGCATCCGAGACTCCGATTCACGATTCGCGAATTCCTACATGATCCTAGAGGTGCTTAGAACAATATATTTGAAAATGGAATCGATCCAACTGTCTGAACATATCCTATAATGCATAATATGCGTAATC